TGTAGACCCTCCTGTATTCTAGGCCTCAGCTGTGGTGTCAGCTCAGGACCTGCCTTCCTGTCACAAGCTTGAAAGCAGGAACTGTCTAAAAGGAGCAGGCACCAGGCCCTTGTCCTTGCCACAGCCTTGTGCAATGGGCCTGAACTAGAGCTTCATAGCCATCCTGCAGGTTGGTAGGGCAGGCACACCTACACCATACTCTGTTGACTTTATATACCATTTCCTTTTCTATTGCTTACAAAGGAGTCCTAGTGGACTGACCCCTGTAGACTTCATGCTGTGTGTGGACCACCAGAAGACAGACTTTCAGTCATTTCTACAGAAAGGTATAATGCTATCAGTATCACAGCACACATTTCCCACCCATATGTGGGGTGTATAAGGTGTGTGCCCAAAAGGGTTAGGGGAAAATGGATCATGAGGAGGGGGTTCATCTTGCCTGGTGGTTGGAACAATGGTGGGCCTGGTTTTTAAATGCGTATTTTGTCTTTTGACTGGGGGCTGTGAAGTAGCTTTGTGATGATTAATGGCTTATGTTTTCATAAAACATGAAGACTTCATGTTAAAATTCAGTATCCAACTAGGAGCAGCACCACATTCTGGTTGTAAAGGGAGAGAAAAAAAGAGGGAAGCACATACTGTTCATTCATTCATGTTCCTTGTGGGGCATTTACCCAACCACCCCCACAGTTCCCCAGAGTTTTCTTAAGTGCGAGCAGCAGGAAATATTAGATAGAAGGATTTATTGCGGAAAATATCGCGGAGATAAACAGATAAAAAATAAAGGATAGCCTCGAGAGGGCCTGGAACCTATTCCAACGGGCCCCGACTGTCTCTGCCCCAGGGTTTTTATAGAGACACCAAGGGGTGGAGCAAAAGACCTCCTCCCCCAGCACAGCCAAGTGCAGACCATCTCAGACACCTGCACTCAGGCCCGTGGTCTAATCATCCTCTATGCGGACCTGCTGGGTAAAGCCACGAGGAACCCGAGAACGGGCTCCCACAGGTCCCCCTTTCTTTTTTTTTTTTTTTTTTTTTTTTTTTTTTTTTTTTTTTTTTTTGGTTTTTCAAGACAGGGTTTCTCTGTGTAGCTTTGCGCCTTTCCTGGATCTCGTGCTGTAGACCAGGCTGGCCTTGAACTCACAGAGATGCGCCTGCCTCTGCCTCCCGAGTGCTGGGATTAAAGGCGTGCGCCACCACCGCCCGGCACCCCCTTTCTTAATATATAAAAAAAATAACTATTAATGGCTTACAGCAATCTCCATAGCTGTTACACCTCCCAATATGGGAGTAGAGGATGATAAAGATGGCATTTTTCAAAAAAAAAAAAAAAAAGATGGCATTTTTCTTTTGAATTAGGTCCAAGGTGACTACAGCAGTCTTAGCTGCATCAAGCCCTTTCCAAACCAAAAACTCTTAAGGTGACTACAAACTTAAAGAATCCCTTAGCTTCATCATTACCATTAACAGGTTAACATAAATATTGCTATACATAGTCACAATTCTCTCAGTCTTACAACTCAAAGCAAACTCTTAACAGAACCATTTGAATTAGCATATATGGTGCTATTTATAGTTAACAATTTTCTCCGTCTTACAACTTTATCTCAATCATTTGAATTTTCTTGCTAACAGAACATAGGAAAAACTTCGATGTATTCACATCAAACTTAAATATTTCCTTAACTCCACAAAACCAGGGTGCATTAATATCAATAGGTTTCTGCAAACATAATTCAATCTCATAACTCCTCCTTTTCTTTATAATTTTTTAAACAAAATCTCAAACCTAGTTAGAGGAACCCAAACTCATACAATTCCTACAAACCCATATTGAAAAGCAATCTTCTCAATCTAACCATTAACACTTTGAAAACTTAGCAAAACATCCAAAAGCAGTTTCTTAATAAAACTCTTTACAAGTAATCTCTTAATAGACATTTCTTACTAACAAAAACATGACATGAAATTAGATTAAGGAATATTAACTCTCCCCCTTTTCTTTATAATTTAAGCAAAATCTCAAGCCTAGTTAGAAAACCCAAACTTTTCCATTTAAACAGTTCCATTTATAACACAAAACCAGTTCTGTAAGTAATTTCATTTTTACATAAACAGTTCCACAAAACAATTCATGAATCACCAATTAATAAAGCATATATGCATACACAAAACTGCATCTTGATTCTAGGTAGAAATAAATTTCTTCATTTAAACAGTTCCATTTTTAACCCAATTCCAGCAAACAGTTCCTAGGTCATTACTATGAATTGTCCCATTGCAATGAAATCTCTATTGTTCATTTCATTTCTTAAGTCCCAAAATTCAAATGATAAATTCTGGTACTAGCCTTCCAAATATGAAGAAATCCACAACCAAAATCTTTTTGTAGTTTTATCTCATTTTAAGTTCAAAAAGTTCAAACAAGAAATAAATTCTGGTATCGGACTATCACTTCAAAATATGAAGAGATGTTTTTCAACCAAAACTTTTTGCAGTTAACAATTTTAGTTAAAACAAGCATATCTGCAACTTTCATTCTCAAGCTGGAGACCTTTTTAGTTACAGTAATATTCTAAACCACACCATTTTTGATGTTAGCTCAGGTTTTTCTGTGTTGCGTCGATTTTCCACGGATCTCAGCTGCGGATGCCTTGTGCTGGTTCTGGCATCCGCCATTCTTAGCTTCTTAGCGGCTTCTGGAGCTTTTGAAAACTGCTCAGACTGCCTGCTTTGCAGTCTCCTAGGACAGTAACTTCTGTATCTCAGGTTTTTTCATCATATACATTAAGCATAGACTCACACTTAACATTTACACTTTTTAAACTCACATATAACATTTTTTGCCTTGCAAAGCATTTAGACTCACATTCAACATTTACACTTTTTTTACAAACTCACATAACATCTACTTATTTATACTCCTTAAGGAAACTCTAGAACTACTTTAGCAAATATATTTCTTATTACTTATATACTTATATTCATTCCATCTTATTTCTTATTTAAACTTACATTTACAACTAGCATCTTTACTTCTTACAAGCTTATTACTACATGTCTTAAGACTACCTTAGATATTTCTTGCAAGCTTATATTCTTTTTTTTTTTTTTTCCAGTTCCAAAGTCTTTATTGTTTTAGAAAAGATGATCCATTCATTCTGTGGAATGAAGAGCTATGTCCAGGGATCCATCAGTAGCGCTGGAAAGGACCCAGTGATCCACCTCTACTCATACACGCAAGCTTATATTCTTAAAGGAACTCTATAGATCTATTTTACAAACTTATATAGGGCTACCATTAGCATATATTTAACTTAGCAAACACCCAAAGATTTCTTAACACAGAGATCTAACAAGAGAATTTTTACAAACTCACATCTTATTTTCATCTTTTTCTATTTCTTACTCTTAATTATTATTACTATCTCTATTAGAAAGATTCTCTTAACTAGACAGAAAGTACGTATATCATTTCTAAAGTTTAGAGTTAATAGTCAGCTTTGTTATAAAGCACTGGGATTTAGTGAGTGTTGTTGTTATAGAATTGTGATAGTTGTTGCTAGGAGACTGTAACCTTCCCAGGATGAAGCCACACTCCAAAGTTGCCAGTTCTCTCAGCCGTCCGGAACCGGCAGAGATGCACTGTCAGTGGTAGACGGTTTTTAACTAGAGGCTGTCCTTTGACCCAAATTCATAATAGCTCCGCTAAGTGCTTCAATTCAGACAAATGTTTCTATTACAGCAGTACTTTTGGTTTGTTCTACCGAAAAACTTCACTTCACGCTGAGGGCGAAATTACCATATTTAGCTGCTGTAAAGCTCTTCGCCAAATACTGCACAGCTATTAGGTGATATAAAGTATTTTTCTAAAGGAGCTAGTAAAGCCACAAGTGGCACAGCTCCGAACTGTATTTGGTATTTTCACCTCTTTAGCTTTAACTCCTCATGTTATTAGCAGCTGTAATATTTAGCATTGATTTCTTAAAAGGAACTTTCAGGTGAAGCAACTCTTGTAAGACAGCTAGATTTTTTGAAGTTTGTTTCCCATCTATAAAGCAGTCATTTCTTTTTGAATGCCTGTTTGTCTCCTTATTAGATTTGCAAAGGAATTGCTCATTGCAGTTTATTCAAAAGGCAAAGAACTTTTAATTTCAACGTAAGTTTCTTCATATCTAAGACAACGTTCAGTGTATAAACTGCTCTCTTGCTTTCTTAAGGATTTTAAAGTGGCTTGTTTGCTCTTAAAGGTAGCTTTTTGTCATCCAACTGCCGCAAAAACTTTGTACAGCTATTAGGGTAAATAAGGCATTTTACCAACGAAGCCCCAAACCGCGAAGCACCTAGTTCCGTATCCTTTCAATTTTTCATTGGAACTGACACTTAAACTCTTAGATGATTTTCCTCCTTATTCTTTTAAAAGCTGTATTTTAAGTTTACCATGAACGTATTTTCGAGCTGACAAAAGTGTTTCAGGGCAATGTCGCCATCTTTAGCGGAAAAACTACCTTTCCCAGAATGCATTTCCCTTATATCAGTCCATAATAGTTTCAGTCCCTTATATCAGTCCTTTATATCATTTCCCTTATATCAGTCATTTCCCATAGTTCTTTTCGGGTCTGAGAGTCAACTGGTTCTTTTTTACCAGACTTGCTTACAAATTCTTGCCCGGGAAGTTTGAACAAAGTTTTTTGCTTTTACAATGGGAGATTTGAACGAGCATTTTACATTTTCAATTATGGGACATTGGGAGGTTTCTGGTCTCTCAGCTGGCTTCAACAGGTGTCTCTCCTTCATTTGACAGGGGCCCCCAAATAAGAACCGCACTTGCCTCGTTAGCCGACATTGAGGCTGGCATTTCTGATAGCAACTTTCCTCGGGGCTTGTGTTTGTCTTAGCCAGTCAGTGAAAAACAAGTTCATGTACAACAGCTTTTCCATAGCTCTTTCAGAGATTTTCTCCCACTGACTTCATTCTCATTTTGCTTGTTCCTCCCCCCCCCCCCCCCCCCAGATGCAGAGCTTCAGGTATCTGTCTGCGGCTCTGTACCTCTGCTAGCTGCCTTTGGAGGTAGGGGCTTTTTTTCTCCCTCCGAATCCGCCTCAAATTCTAGCAGCTTTTCACAGGTCATGTATTTTCTGGGGAGGAATATGTCCCTTCTCTTTCTTCAGAGTCTTTCTCCCTGACAGTATCCAGTTTGGTCTCAGTTTATCCCCTCTACCCCAGAAACAGTTTCCGACACTACAGTGGCGGCTTTCCCTGCTCCTGAAGGTAGGGGCTTTTTGTCTGTTTTCCAAGTCTGTGTGGTTTGCATACAGACTGAAAATCTAACAAGGAAGGTTTTTGCCATTTCTAAACTCCCATTAGAACAGTTTTTTTGCCTCATCAGGCCTTCACCTGGCCCAGTCCCCCAGTGGGTTGCATTTGCTTGTCTGGGTGCTCAAGGACAGAGCTTATGCCAGAGGCAATCACCCCTTAGGGCTACACTCCCTCATCTCAGGGAGTCAGTTGAAACAAAGCTTTTCTCAAAGAGATGCTCTCTCCGACAGAAAAGCAAGCTTTACTCCTGGATAGTTCTGTTCTGCCCTGGCTGGGCTCTTTCCCCAGACAGCGTTCTGACTCAGCAGCACGACTGCTTTAGACACAGTTCAGCTTTACTACTTTCCCAGAAAGGCCCTTACTCTGATAGGAAAGCTTTTTTTCTCAGATTTCTTTTTGCAGCTCTGGACCTATCAAGCCGGGACTTGTAGGAAAGCGGGCAACTGTGCTGTTCCCACTGGCTTTAGTTTTGTTTGTTCATTAGCAATCTTCCCCTGGGTCCTGCACCTTCCTGCCTCAGCTCTGTGCTCCAGGAAGTTTGCAACTGCAGGAGCCCTAGTATCCCCGAAATGCACTCCAACTCAGAGACGCTGGCCAGCTGGCCAGTCGCCTCTGGGTTTTTGGTGAGAATCGAGGATACAATGCTAACAGTTTGCATTGCTTCAGGGGATCTTTGCATTAGGACGATTAGGAGCACCTTTTTATTCTGAAATGCTCACTCAAACAAAACCCTTGCTGCCTCAGCTGGGCATAACTGAAAAGCTTGGATTTTTTTCTTTTCTTAGGTAAAGTTTCCTGCCCTTTTGGGCTCTCTGTAGCTCTTTACCCACACTCTCCCAAGCGTTTCCCTCAGGGTACTCTGACCCACTGTCTTTTACTAGCTTGAAGAGAGAGAGCTTAGAAGAGGTTTTTAGGAACTTGTCCCTGCCTCCTGCATTGCAGGGAAGATTTTTAAAGCTTGAAAGAACTTAGGTTTTGCTGTCTTAAGAGGTTTGTTGTTTTCCCTTAGAGCTAATCACAGGTGGTCCCCATACTAATATCTTCAGGTGATTCTAATTTTTGTCCTTCTGAGAGAGTGAGTTCTGAAAGGCTTTAGTTTTTAAGTTTGAGAGCTTTTAAGATTAAAGCTTTTTAGAGAGATTTTTCCCCCAAAATTTCCCAAGAAAAGCTTTTAGTTTAAGAGAAAGATTTTTTCCCCCAAGAGAAAGACCAACTTTTCCCAAAACTTCCCAACTTTAAACTTTTTGGCTTTTTACACCCCCATTTTTGCCTCAGGGAGAAAACACTTTCCTCCTGCCGCTTGGATTTAGCATTTCAGCTGTCCCTAGGTCAAAAGCTTCCATAGGAAACTTTTTTTTCCCCATAAGCTCAAAGAAGAGCTTTTTTGCTACCCGTAAAGCCCAAAGAAAGATTTTTTTTCCCAGTTTGCATTCATAGCCCCCAAAGTTAGAAAATTGGAGAGTTTTTCTGTCTAGTTGCTTTACTTATTTTTTCCTACATAATCTTACACTTCTAAGTTTTTCCTAAACTATATTACTACGCTATACCTTATATTTTTCAGATAGAAATTGAGAAAGGGATACAAGATAGAAAATTTTGACAGAAGAGAATTTCGCTGCAGCATCGGACATCCTTCCAGTCCGCTTTCCTTTTCTCTCGAGGCTAAAACCCCTGCCTCTCAATATATATAAAAAAATGTATATTTTCCATAACACCGGCATGCCTTATCCACTGGCAGGACTGAACTCAGCACTTTCGCCAAAAACTCTGTAACAAAACTATTTTCCTTTATCTTTAGTCCCTGTTACTTTGTCTTTAGTCCCTTTTTTTAGTCCCCCCTTTTTTTCTTTAGTCCCTTTTTTTCTTTAGTCCCTTTTTTTCTTTAGTCCCTTTTTTTCTTTAGTCCCTGTTCATGGCGCCATTCTGTGGGGCATTTACCCAACCACCCTGACAGTTCTCCAGAGTTTTCTTGAGTGCGAGCAGCAGGAAATATTAGATAGGATTTATTGTGGAGAATATCGCGGAGATAAACAGATAAAAAATAAAGGATAGCCTCGAGAGGGCCTGGAACCTATTCCAACGGGCCCCGACTGTCTCTGCCCCAGGGTTTTTATAGAGACGCCAAGGGGTGGAGCTAAAGACCTCCTCCCCCAGCACAGCCAAGTGCAGACCATCTCAGACACCTGCACTCAGGCCCGTGGTCTAATCATCCTCTATGCGGACCTGCTGGGTAAAGCCACGAGGAACCCGAGAATGGGCTCCCACAGTTCCTCTGACTGTAGTTCTGGATTCCGTGGCACTAGAAGATCATTGCCAACCACTCAGCATCTGTGTCCCCATGTCATGGGACCTGTCTCAGTCCCTGCTGTTCCAGCTGCCCCTCCCCAGGCCCCTGTAGACCTGGTTTCCTCTTTCCCTGGACTTCAGATCATTAGGTGAAAATAGGTTGAGAAGCTAAACACCATTACAAGGAGCTGGCTGCCTGGAGCTCAGATATGTCCTGGTATGCCATGTCAAGTGACTGAGCACCCAGGAAGCTGACTCAAGATGCTTGGCACAGTTGGCCCAGACTGGTCCTGCCTGGGTGGGCTGAGTCATAGGGGTGCAAAGTGGACATGATTCCATCTTTCCTGACTGCTAAGGGACACATGTTTGAACACACAGGGAGAAAGAATGGCTGTGCTGTGCTCTGTTCTTCCCATTCAGCATGGAGAGTAACTCAGCAACTTTGTCTGAGGTAAGTGTGGGTATAATCAAGTTTGGCTTACAGGAAACATGAAACACAACTCTTGAGTACACACACATCTATCTGCCTTCTAGTTACTCTCCCTTCCTTGGTGATAGAACCCCAGCTTGTCCTGAAGGTAAGTCATAGTCTTTTCCAAGCCAGGCCTAAGGTCTATAAGACCCGAAGCTTCCACAGGTAGGAGGGGGAAGGTTTCTACTCTCGGGAAATAATTGAATATAAAATTAAGTACAAGTTTTTATTTAGAATGAAAAGGTTAAAAAGTCCTGCCCCATCCTCCTGGGAGCAGTTTGGCAAGGCAGTGGGCCCGTCAGCGGGGTGGGTAAGAAACAGGGATTAAGCAAGCATATGCTGGTCAGTGTTTCCCCAGGACGTACAGACACAAGAGAACAACCAGAGCCCTTCACTTTCAGCCATGGTGTCTCTACATGACTGTGACTGTAGTCATCCCATGTCCTCTCAGGTGGATGTTCTGAGTACTGAAGATGATCTGCACATGGGACAAGGGTTTGTGTAGCAAATCTACAGGAGGACTGCAGCTTGGTGGCCTTCTCTGCTTATGTACATTCTTGCTAGAAAACAGAACAGACATGCCCAATGTTCCCCTCTACAGCAAGTGGAGGAGAGAGACTCACTCATTTTCAGTTCCCAAATCCACTGTTTTACAAGACATAGGCCACCCAAGAAGCAGGGTTTTTTGTTTGTTTTGGCCTTCTCGGAGTTTGGGGAGGCAGAAGTACCCTTCTCTGGCCACCCCGTTCCCTTTGCTCCAATGGATGCACTGCAACATTTCTGCACTGAGGAGCAAAGGAGGCAGGTGCTCATCTGTGTGGTGTAGCCTCATCCACTGCAGGGCTCAGGTCGCCCGCTCCTGGGCATCTTCCCCCCATCGCTGGCAACTTCATCAGAGTGGGAAGGATAAAGAGTCAGTGAATTGGTCAGTGCTAGCTGTCATCTTGACCGACTGTGAACATGAGGGTTCACCCAAGACTGGAGCGTAGCAGGTGGTCTGGGCCTTTCCCTTCATAATACTGATGGACCAAGTTCATAGGAGGTGTCACACATCACTGAACTGGGCCTAGCACAGGTGTGTTAGGCCATTCTCACTTGTTCTGGGCCCCACAGACAGTCTCTTTACCAGACAGACTCCCTAGACAGGTGCCCACACTTTCTGTGCTGCCTGCTAGACCTGAGATCAAAGCTCCTGAAGGAGCTCTCCAGCCAGTTTTCTTGAGGCTTCAACACAAAGATGATCTGATCTGTACAAGGTCTGGTCAAGAAAGCCAAGAATCTCATGGGTTACAGCATCCGTGTGGGCCATCTGCAATGAGGGAAGAAAGGAAAGATGAAAATACTACTGGGGACCCCTCTGTCCAGCGCACTCAGCATGAGGCTGCAGGGGAGGTGGGGTTCACTTCTGCTTTCTTTCTTTATAAGGTGACTATCAAAGAATGTCTGTCCCCAGGGGCCCCTCCCTATACAGTGGGGCCAGTTTCTGATGACCAACCTCCCCACAGGGGCCAAAGTGGTCTTAGTTTCTCCAGGTCCACAAACAAGCACCATGGAGGTAGCAGGACTTCCCAGCACACTACCACAGTGTTGGGATTATGTGCTGTAAGGAGCAGGCAGCATTTATCACTTGACTTTCTTTGAAAGGCTCACCCTTCCCTGAGAATCAGAAAAGGCCACTTGCTTCTATACAAGCAGCCTTAAGGTGACATTCCTGGGCCATCCACCTACAGAGCAGCAGGCAGGATAGGTGGTAGTTTAGCTCTGAACAGCCCTGAGGCACTCTCGCTTGTTGGCGTTAGTACCTTCTTTCCCCAGAACCTCAGTTGAGACTCTCAGATGTTACCTGTGCAGGACATTGACTAGGATTTGTTTAGGTACAGCAGCATTAGGAACCCTGAACCACAGGCCTGGGTACCAGGTGTTTGGAAGGGTCTACACTTGGCTGTATCTAGTGGCGGGGGAGGGGGGTCTCTTGCCTCATCCCTTGTTATAAAAAGCCCTTTTGAATTAAGTTCTGGGTTGTTGGGTATTGACCCAGGTCCTCCCAAAGCTATTCTGATTCCTCCCTCCTCCTCATAGGAACCCTTTAAAAGGTGGGAGCAGGTCTCCCACGGGGACACACATTTGTTGTGTGTCAGGGCAAACACAGCCTGCAGGTTTAGCCCCATCTCAGCTTTCTCTTGTCTCACCAAGCCTTTCTCTAGGGTGACCAGCCACCCTAGGTTTGCCCTAACTTTGTGGCGTTCAGCCTTTACTGACCCATAGCCGAACCCCTCCTTCCTGGCCCTACTCTGGCCACCAGGGAAGTGAAACAGCTGGGGAGAGCTGCACTCTCAACATCTGCACACCTTGGCCGTGTTGCTGAGGTAACAACGCTCAGGATGGCCTGGCAGCGTCTGCAGGCTCTGGGCACCTGACCTGTCACTGCCAGGTTATGACTAAAGAGCCACAGAAGTATGGTGCTGCAATGACTAAGTAAAGGCAGCCTCTGTCCTTCCTGGGGCATTAATCCCTAGAGGCCTTAAAGACATAATGTATGTATAGACTCTGTGTGGGCACAGACTGCCTCCCACTCGGGCAGGCAGTCACTACACAGCCTAACTTCACACCTTTCCTAGGCATAGAGTCACACAGAAACATGCCCCGCTAGCCTGGACTGTAAATACAGCAACCTTGGAGCTGACCTCTCCTTCTCAGACTGGTGAGGCAGGCAATGTGCAGTGGAAGACAAGAGTACATCCACAAAATGCAACGAGAGCAGGCAGGGTGGAGAAGGCTCCAAACACAAGCACACCCATCCCAGCACCAGTCAGAGAGCAAGCATGTGGCAACCCGGGGCAGAGACAGAGGAAGAAGCCAGAGCAGATGGCTACTGGGGTCTGTGGCAACTCAGAAGGCCAAAACCAGAAAGGGAAGCCCATGAGAGAACCAGGAGCCAACCCCACCAGGCTGAAGTTGGAGGGAGCTGTGCCAGTGTGGAGAGACTGCTAACGTGGAAGGGGGTCCTAAGAACGTGGCCTGCTGCCTGCTCCGGTTCTTACCCTGCTGGCTTTAGCGCAGCTCTCCAAAGCTAGCTGCGGAAGCCCAAGGCAGACCACATGCTTGGAGGTGGCTCTATGCCAGCTCTCTGAGTTCACATGAATTCTGCCCCAAGGCCAGGGTCCTCAGGTGGTGACACCCACACTGCTCTTACAGAAGTGCCCTTCTGCAAAGGGCTATGCAGCATGTAGATGACTCCTGCCATTGACTGGGACGGGGGTCAGAAGCCCAGCTATCCGAAGCCTGGGGCTAAGCCTCCTCTGAAGGCAGGCTGTGTGCCGATGACAGTTGTATCTGTGAGGATAGTACCTGGTAGCCTGCTGGACTCTGGGATGAAGCACTTAGAGGAACTAGTGTGTGGCACTCTCTGCACTCGAGGCAGCTGAACTGACCTGGGGTTTCTGTGGAGCTGCACTACCAGCTGTAGATTAAGTTAGTGTGTGGTTGAACAGGCCTGGTCAGTGGGTGTGTGCTGTACAGTGCAGGATGTTGTACAAGGCCCGACTCCCCTCTCAGAAGTCTCTGTGTGAGTGGGGAATGTGGCCTGTCCTGAATATGGAAATGTTGCTGGAACACCAAACAGAGAGCTGGTATCTCCAGGAGATTTTGCTGGGGTTCTTTCTCACATCTTAGGCAGGGCCTAGGCCACTGTAGTCAGTGAGGGTGGCAGGACTGAAAAAGAGCAGGGGCCATGTGGCCCTGGAAGACATGTCCCAGCAGCAGAGCTGACTCTTTGTCACAGATGTCGTGAGCATTATGAAGAGGTCAGACTTTCCATGTCTATAATTCAGAAGCACCTACTGTCAACAGCATCAGACTTGGTGTCACTACAGAAGTAGCACAGTTGGAAGAGCTCCCACCCACCCATGCGGAGTTCTGTTTCAAGTGGACTATATGCTGCAGTTTGTTGTTTGGTGATAATTCTGCTGTGTCCCTGTCACTCAATGAAGTCCACACTTCATTCTGACTTCCAAGTCTTCTCTGTCCTTGTCCTCTCCAGAATCTCATCCAGGGCACAGCACAGTCTGCCATCTTGTCTCCTCTGGCTCTTGACTATGAAGGTTCTTCAGAGTCTTGTTCTAACAACCTTTAAGAGGATCAGAAGTTCTGTGCAATGTCCCTTACTTAGGTTGTGTAATGTTTTTTCCTCTGATGAGACCTGGGCTACCATTTCGCTGTTGTTTTGTGTGTGGCAAGTGATGATGAATGGGGTTTGAGCAGTGAGGAGTTCTGTACATGAAGTTTAATCAAGTAGGAAGGCCCATTCTAAATATGAGTGGTGCCGTTCCATGGGCTGGGGTCCTAGACTGAGTAACAGGTTAACTCAGGAGAGTAGAGACATTCATGCCACTCTGCTTATTGATAAGGATGCAATGTAACATGCCACCTCAAGCTCCTGCTGCTATGACTTCCCTACCATGATGGACTGTGAGCCAGAATAAACTGCCTCCCTGGTTCCTTTTCTCTGGGCATTGTATCACATCAAAAAGAAAAGAAATCCAGGAGATGACACAAAGTGTCCCTCTCACCATGTGTCATGAGGCTTGCATGCTAGCCTGACTTCCTCACCTAGGGAGAAGCTGACAGAGTATTTGCAACAGGCCTACCAGGGAAGTTGGCTGGCTGGTGATCCCAGGACATGCGGAGTTCTGTTTCAAGTGGACTATATGCTGCAGTTTGTTGTTTGGTGATAATTCTGCTATGTCCACTTTGTGAACTAATCCCCAGTCAATCTGATTAACACGTCCATCACCTTGAACACTGTGTATACAGAACACTTAAGGGGTAGCTGAGGAACTTTCAAGTAGAATTACTGAGTCGGGACTACTCATAACTGTAAGACTGGACCTTTTGTCCAACATTCCACATACCCAATATACTAGATGAAGTATGATGAGGCAACATCTGTCTTGGTGACGGCCTCTGTTCCTCAGTGCCATGTTCTTGAAGGCATGTGTTTTAGAATCATAGGCAGTAGGTTTCTGAATGTATTATGCTGGGGGGCCTTGAGATGCCCCAATGCAGGAGAGGCCAATCCTCTCCTGCTTTCAGCTTCCCTGAGACACAGGTGGCTGCTGTTCTGATGGGTAGAGGGCTTTGGCAGGGAGGCATCTACCTCTTGGACTTTCCTAGTGTTCACATTCAGACTGAAACCCAGATGGAAAGGGAACAGCCCTTTCTTGATTGGGTTGCTGGCTGCATGAATCCTATTCTTCATTTTGTTTATAAAACTTCATCAAGCTATATATTTCATATGTTAACAATTTTAAAAAACTGAAAATAAGACTCCTGTAGTCAACAATGTTGTGGTTCACCTTTTGGTTTCTTTTGAGACAGTATCTCATATAGTTCAGGCTGGCCTCCAACTCACTATGTGGCTGAGGATGACCCTGAACTCCTGATCCTCCTGCCTCTACCTCTCATATGATGGGATTCTAGGCCTACACTCCTACATTCACAATGTTGTACAACCATCACCACCCATCTCCAGACACTCTGCACAAGTTAAACACTAACTCCAAAGCCCTGTGAAGCCTCTGCTCTACTTCTGCCTCTGTGAATCGGACTATTCCAAGGAACTCAAACAGGTGGACTCCTATAAGAGCTTCCTTGTGACTGGTTGATTTCATATAGCACAAAGCCTTCAAGGTCCATCCATGTTGTAACAGGCGGCAGACGTGCCTTCCTTGCCAAGGCCAAAGAGTAACCCATGGTGTGCATGCACAGGCTCCTGTGTTTATCCAGTCATGCATTCCTTCAGCAGCTGAAAATCCTGGTACACAGATACCTGTTTGAGCCTCTGCTATCAGTTCTCTGGGGAGACCTGGGTGCAGGATCACGTGTCCCCTGGCAGAGCTCGGCTTTCTTCAGAGCAGTCGCATCACTGTAGCGTTCCCAGCTGGAAATGCCTGAAGACGCCACTCTGATTCTCAGTGCTGCTTTACTGGTTCTGCAGTAGCCAGCCAGCTAGGTAACCACAGTGCGGTGGGCATTGTCCCAGGTGCTTCTGAACACGCATACATCTTCCTTGGAGAAATGTCCGTCCGATTCCTTCACCCATCTTTTAACTGGATGGTTTAGCTTTGTTGTCAGTCCTAAGAATTCTTTATGTATTCAGAATACTTAACTCTTGCCAGATACATCCTAACCCCAACTTTCTCCCATTCTGTGAATTATCCTTGTACTCTGATAGTACCCTTTGATGCACAAATTTTAAACTTTCATGCAGTCCAATTTATCTATCTTTTCCTTTTGTTGTTTTGGTGTCATATTCAAAACGTTACTGCAAGGTCTGTGTCACAAATGGGACTCACTTTGACTGACTCCTTTACAAAGCTGTCATGCCATGTGTCCTTCTATAAGAATCTCTAACTGTTGTGGTTTAGACAATTTGTCTTCCCAAAAGACTCATGTGGTAGGGCTTGACACTCAGCTGCTAGTACTATTTGGGAGGCTCTGGAAACTGTAGGAGGTCCTTAGAGCTGTCTTGATCCCCATGTTTCTTGTGCATCATGGGTAGACAGCCACTGCCAGACATTCTTGCCACAGTGATCTCCGTGCCTGACCGCAGGCCCAGCGCCACAAAGCTACATGAAAGCAAAATATATAACAACTCCCTTTTTTCCTCAGATATTTTGTCACAGCAACAAGAAACTAATATATTAACCACAACCTTTTTGAAGTGAATTCTTTGACCTGTTACAATGAATGGCACTGTCACTACTTAGGAGCATGTTGTTACGGAAACTGGACTTCTCTTCCCAAGATGGGACAGGCAGTGACTACAGCATGAGAAGCAGGACACCCAGTTCTAACTGTGTGTGGTGGTAGCAAGCCATGTGCTTGCAAGGTGGCACTTCCATTCTGCAAGCATGTCTTCCCTTCACGAGGAAGGTTTACTGTACAGCAAGGAGGGTTTTGGGTCTGTGCTAGCTGTGGCCCGATTGACCTCCATGCCCTGGGGCAGCATCCTGGGCCTATGCTCTCAAAGGCCAGGACCCTCAAGGTGATAATCTACCTTTCATTTAGAGTGTAAATATGAAGTACAGGTTGGGAAAAAAGCAACTTACATGGGTGACTGCTTCCCAGGCAATTGCATGGCCTTCTGGGGTCCAGAGCAAGAGGCTAAGAAGAAGGCGCCTGGCCAGCTGTCCACATACAGGTGGTCTGGGGTCTGTACTGGGGCTCTCAGCTGCTTTCTGCAGATCGATAGCTGAGAGGGGGTCACTTCTGAGCAGCATCAGGAGACGGTTGAGCAATACCTTCAGCTCTACCTGGGTAATACAAGTTCAGAGGGTGAGACCCTAGCAAGGACTCGACAGGAGTGACTCTAGGATGTGTTTGATGCTTTGAAGCCCTAGGGAAAGGAACAGCCAGGCACCCAAGCTCAGCTAATTCACACACAGCTCTACATAAACCCAAATGGGTTTAATGGAAATTTCTTGACTTTCCTTCGTCTTGCCCACCAAGCAGCCAGGGCACTATGCCAGGACCTGACCTTTTCTTTTTATATGAAAGCAAATGAAGGCAAGTCCTCAGCAGAATGTAGTCAGAATTTTCTTATTGTGGGAAAAACAAAAGGCCCCTTGAAGACGACCACTCAATATCAGCCGCAATCAGTTAGAGCCACAGGCCCACTGGGCGGTGCCTGGGCTGGCTGAAGGAAGCACAGGCCAGCCACACACACACACACACACACACACACACACACACACACACACACACAAGCTCATCTGTTTTGTTGCAGACACTGGGACAGTTGTTCGTACATGCTCACAGCTCAAGCAGAGGTCACAAGTCTGTGGAGTCCACATAATAACAGTAACTGTTCAAAGTCCGTGGGTTGTTTTTTCATAAAAAATATTTATTTCATGCTGAGACTCCTGTGGCTCACAGAGCGAGGCAGATGCAGCGCAGAACATCACATTGATGGTCCATCCTGCCGAAAGGCTCTTCGAGACTGTGGTGAGAATTCCCACGGCTTATTTTGTGGGTCTCTGAGAGCTGCTTCTCCTCTACACATTTAGGCCCCATTCAGTGCCATCTGTCATGGGTAGCAGCACACTAGGAGTGTTGTGTGAGCTCTCCTGACTACAAGGGTGACCGTGAGAAAGGCACCATGGCACTTTTCCACTGAGAGGAGCAGTGTTCCCAGGATAGCTACCGCCTCGGCTGATGACATCTAAAGAGAGGCTGAACCTCATCTCTCCCTCGATCCTGTTTTGTCCACACTGACTTCCTCTCATATGCCTTCTATGTCTAGAAGCTTCTACAAGGGAGATGTGTGTTCTTTGAAGTAAGAGATAAGCCTTTTGTTCTCATTTTCATTTGCCATTATAAAAATTTACTTTTGCTCACTATGGAAAACAAGATTAAAAAATGATATAAAAAAAATCCACCACTCATCCTCTGAAGGAGCCACTGAGCATCCCTGCGCTTCATGCATTGGGAGTAACTGTTTGCTGCTCCTGTCTGACACTTCCACGTGTACCATGAGCCAGACATATGCCTAAGCACTATCTGGCAATGGGACTCTTCCTGGTAGTGTGCTAGTCCATGGCTGGGATCCAGTACCACTTACTCAGTAGCAGCTTATGCAAGCTCAGGCCATTTCGGATCCCGCAGCGATGAACTCTGCTTTGATGCCCATTGTGTGCAAGCAGCTTTGTGTGAATCTCTGCCTTTCCAAAAAGATTCTTACAAGTGAAAAGACAGTGTCTGAAGGGTTTGAGGCCCTGACCAAGGCAAAGGGTACATAAAACACAGTCTTAGATTCATGATCCAATTTAGTTAGCCAAAGCAGATGAACACAGCTGGCAGAGGTGTACCCCAGGCAGGACAGGTATGCTACTTTACCCCACAGTCCTTACCCCAGCAGAGGACTGTCAGCACAGTGTTGTGGGAATTTGCTCTGCCAGAAGATCCAGCTGCCCAAGGAGCAAGATGCCAGCAGACCAGTAACACCACGGCCACATGGCAATATATAGATTAATAGAAATGGGTTTATTAAAGATATAAGAACTAGCTAGTAATAAGCCTGAGTCACAGGCCAAACAGTTTGTAATTAATATTAAGCCTCTGACTGGTTATTTGGGAACAAGTGGGCAGGAGAGATTCGTCTGTCTCCAGCACAGCACTTGCAGCTAAGTGACTGACAGTGACTTACTGCTTTTAAGTTAAGGCAAAGGCACAAGCATCAGCAAACTCCAGAGTCCTATTATGCTCCTGTGCTGCAACACTGAGTTCACCTGTACTCGAGTTCCTGCTGGCCACCAAGCGGTCAAAGTGTCTAGATGAGCGCATAGGAAGACGCCTTCCTCAAGTATGGCATACACCAGCAGCTCTAGTCAGGGCACCAGTAAGGGGAAGCTCTGGCTTCTAGGACTAGGCAGTAGCTGCCTCTGAGTGACCAGCTAAGGAGTGAAAACAGATAATACCAACACTACTCTGAGTGGAGTAGCCTGCTTTTATTCAGGTGTCTAGTCACCCCAAGAAAGACCAAGGCATACTTTTAAAGAACGAGAAATACTCCTGAATCCAAGTTAGCTAATACTAAAAGGTGCCTGTAGCTGAACTTTCTAGAAATTAAATCCATTTTAAAAAGAAAAAAAATTAGTGTGTCCATATGCACACACGTAGCCCATGTACACAGAACATGTATGGAGGTCAGAGACTACTTTGGAAGTTAGTTCTCACCTTCCATGATGTGCCCCATGATCAAACTCAGGTTGCTAGGCTTGGCAGCTAATGCCTTTACTTACTGAGCCATCTTGCTGGCCCCTATAAATTAAATCTTACAGGACACTATTCTGTATTTCAAAAGTCAGTCTCTGTAAGTATCTATGATCCATATGGATTAACACATACCTATCAATTTAGTTTACAAAGAATCTAATACAAAATGCAAATGAAAGGGCAAGACCTTCACAACACCTTAATCACTCCTACTAAGAGATGAAAGTCATGAACTAGGATTGTCCTTAGTCAGTTTAATGCAATATATATTTTTAATTTGTATTTCACTTATTTGTGTATAGGTAGCATGTGAGATACAATGTGTGTGTGAAAGTCAGAGGTCAACTTTTGGGAGTTGGTTCTCCTTTTCCATTATGTGGATTCTCGGGGTTGAACTCAGGTCTCCAGTCTCGGTGGCCAGTGCCATTGTCTGCTGGGTCATCTCACCAGCCAAATGTGATCTTTTTTTTTTTTTTTTTTTTTTGGTTTTTCGAGACAGGGTTTCTCTGTGTAGCTTTGCGCCTTTCCTGGAACTCACTTTGGAGACCAGGCTGGCCTCAAACTCACAGAGATCCGCCTGGCTCTGCCTCCCGAGTGCTGGGATGAAAGGCGTGCACCACCACCGCCCGGCCAAATGTGATCTTTTAAAGTGAAGACTGTTTTCCTCTGAATTAAGCAGCAATCTTCAAATACATATGTAGATGATAACATCTTTAAAATGCTTCATTCTGATCCAATATTATCCTCAATTTTCAATTCTTTTAAATTCCAAGGCTCATCTTCACCATGCTATGGAAATCTTTAAGTCAGTGGTTCTCACCCTTCCCAATGCTATGACCCCTTAATACAGTTCCTTGTGTTGTGGTGACCCGCAACCATAAAATTATTTTATTGCTACTTCATAACTAATTTTGCTACTGTTATGAATCATAATGTAAATATCTGTGTTTTTCTGATGGTCTTAGGCAACCCCTGTGAAAGGGTTGTTTTACACCCCCAGAAGGGGTCCTGACTCACAGGCTGAGAACCACTGCTTTAAGCAAATGAAATACAAGATTGCACTGACCTCTGATTTGGGACAAACAGGAGCACTGTTCCATACACACTGAAACCTGTTCCTTTTAATCACTAAAGTGGGCAAAAAGCACTGGAGACTGAAGGCTTTGTTTTTTTTGTTGTTGTTGTTGTTTGGGTTTTTTTTTTTATTTCTTTGTTTTAATTTATTTTTATTTCATGTGCATTGGTGTTTTGCCTGCATATAGTTCTGTGTGAGGGTGTCAGATTCCCTGGAACTGGAGTTACAGACAGCTGTGAGCTATCATGTGGGTGCTGAGAATTGAACCCAGGTCCTCTAGAAGAGCAGCCAGTGCTCTTAACCACTGAGCCATCTCTCCAGCCCTAGACTGAAGTTTTTAAAAGCCAGCAAGTAAATGTTTGCAAGGAGGTGGCAAAGCTTTAATCAAAGCATGGCTTCCTGAAATAACTACATTCTACATAAATAACAGCATCTTTTCCATAGACAGCTACCTGGTCCTGTGCACAGAAACCCTGTTATTTAGAGACCAAATGGTTAAATCATGTGATTACCTCAGTACAAGTCTGGCTGATGCAGGAAAGTGGTAAGTGGGGTGAAAGCAGTCTGGCCAGGCTGTTGGTGGGAAAGAGAAGAAGACATGGACTGCCTCAGGAGCAGCTGTCACTCCTGCGTGGGATCTCCTAAAGCATGGAGCCCTGGGATGAGGCACAAGGGTAAATGAGGGCAGCTGAGGCCACTGAGCAGAATAACCTAGGATCAGATAACCCCGAGAACAGAAGGCCCAGAACATGAGCAGCCTGACGGCTGGGGCAGCCTCTTGTCGCAGGTCCCTGTGGAGGCAGGAAAACATCATGGGCTACAAGCTCAGTCCAAGTGGATGTGCACACATACCCAACACATATGACAAGTGCTCTGAGCCTGGGTGCCTGGGGGTTCAATAAAGGTAAGCCTGGTAAAGGTCCCCCTTCTCTGGGTGTTCTCTGCTCCCTGAGGCCTGACCCTGAGCACACAGTACGGCCTGCACCCACCATGCTCTGCGCTCTCTGCTGACTCCCATCCTGTGGGCTGTAATAGAACACCAAGAGCCACAGCAGGCCTGCAGGGGGCTCAGCTTCCTGCCTCAGCAACTGCTCCACTGCCAGATCAACCCATCCTCCAAAGTGAATGAACAGAAACCAGCTCTCGAAGGGACCTTGCTGGGACCTGCAACAGAGCAAGACATACACATGGTAGCTGGCAACCTCCACCCTTCTTCCTTCTGTTCAAAGTAACTTTAATGTTTGTGAACTTGTACTTTAAATTGTACTTTCCCACCGAAGAAAGACCCTCAGAGAAACAAATTGGATTCAGAAAACCTTTGTGTCTCACCCTAAGCCCATCACAGGACAACCAAAGGGACCCTCCCAAGCCCACGTGTACTGAAGACTAAGGATATTTAGGTCTTTATATCCTGGTATCTATAGAATTCTAGGCTCCAAGAGTGATTGGGGGAAGGGGTGGGGGGGACAACTCACAAAGCATAGTAAGACCCTGCAACGAGCCACCTACTCAGGTAGCTCCAGCATGAGGAGGAAGGCTACGTAACACAGCAGAATTACACCATTCTGCCAAGTGGCTCTGGTCTGCCTGTTTTGTCATCAAATGAACACTCCAGCAAGAAGGTCAAAACTTTTTCCAAGCTATCTTCTCACCCTCCTGAAACCTGGTAGTGTAATGTGTATTAAAGGGTGGACTCTGTGTCATCTCTCTACCTCTGACAGTCACAACATGACAACATTGCCCCAGGAGACAAAGGGAAGAATGGCCTAAGGCCCCTGATGGGAACTTTCATCTGGACAGGAGCATCACAGCCTTTGCAGTGTCTGCAGGGCTTGTGGAATCCCCAAGTTCTAAGCATGGTTCTTGCTTTCTGGTCACTGCTGTCCCATACTTACCTTAGAACATTTGACTTATGTATTTTAAATCAAGTTTGCAGGACAATGAAGGGAAAGCCTTAATCCCTGTCAGAGGGAGGGCGGCTCATCACTGCACAGAGCTGAAGGGGCAGGGCTGCCCAAGTCTCTCTCACAGATTTCATCAGCAAGTATACTGAGCAGTCAACCCTACTCACAGCACAGACCTGCCTGGCCTGACCTTCCCTTCTTTCAGGGGGAAAAAAAAAAGTCTTACGCCTGCTTCACACACTCTCCTGCAGGTAGAGCCCAAGGCCCACTGGATGCACAGGCACTGACAGCTGTAACTGAAAGTTTTCCTGTGCCCACCCAGCTCCTGCGTCTTTGCGGTCCCACAGCTGCTCAGACCCAAATGAACACACAGAGGCTTGTATGAATTACAAACTTATGGCCTATTGGCTCAGGCTTCTCACTAGCTGATCTTACATCTTAAATTAACCCATGCTTTTGGAGACTAGCACCTAGAGGAGGGCCTCCACCATGCTGCATGGAATAATTTCTTCTAGGACAGGTCTGCTAGCTCTGGAGACATTTATTTACTTATTTTTAAATTTATGCATGTGTCTGTCTATATGTGTTTGTGCATGTAAGTGGCCACAAAGACCCAAAAGGAGTATCAGAACCTCTGGAACTAGAGTTATATGGAGTTATGAACCACCTAATGTGGATGTAAGGAACCAACCCTGAGTCCTGTACAAGAACAGCAAGTGCTCTGAATCACTGAGCCATCTTTCTAGCCCTTGGAGAAAGATTAAAGAAAATAATGTTAAAAAATGAAAAGGGGGTAGGATACAAATGGTTAACATTTCCTCCCACTGGCCAAAAGCTCAGTCTCCTTCCTTAAGGGAACCAGGGACACCTTCATGTGGTAGCCAGGGGCTCAACATGTGGGGGCGCTGTTCATTTCTGGAGTCTCTCTCCTTTGCATATTTCAAACTGTAAATGCAGCCCTTACTAGAACTGACTATGCAGACACACTTGCAAAGCTGGCTGCTCACTCTGACCCACACAAAGCAATCCTGAAGCTCCACACTTCCTCCACCTCTTGCCTACTGACAGTGAGTGTGTGCACTTGTTTGTCTGTGAGGGTCGAGCAAAGCCTTCAGCTGCCAACCTGCTCAAAGAGAGGTCAGGGAGGCCACCTGTGAAAGGGTCAAAGGTGGTCAGAGTTTGCTCACCCATGAGTATGGTCTTCAACTGCTTCTCTGAGGAGTTGGGAAATGTGCAGCAGAGGCTGGAGCCGATGTCTCTGTGGGATAGCTGTGGGTGGAAAGAAGTCAGAGGAGGAACTGAAGGAAAGCCAAACCCATGGGGAGACGCCTGCAGCTTAGACTGAAAGCACTGTGCAGAAATGCTCCCACCCCCGCCATTCACAGAACCCATGTCATACTTCTCTCAACCAGGGTGTCTGTGTCTGAGTCAAACTTGAAAGTTTCTTTCCTTGTCTTGTTTGAGACAGGGTCTTATTATTATAGCCCAGGCTGCCCTTAACTCACTATGTAGCCCAAACTGGCCTTGAACTTACTATTTGTCCACCTCTGCCTTCCAGGAACTGGGACTACAGCCCCGCACAGCATGCCTGATTTCAAGTGCTTTAACTTGAAATCTTTAACTAGGGTGTATAGAAGTCAGAAAAGATTCCCTCCACAGCCACCCTAAAACTTGGACTGCCTTGTTTGGCAGATGCCCTGCATTTTCTTTTTACCACATTCTGACTCCATCTCAAATTTGTGACATCAAAACACGAAGGGATCACACTGAATATACAAGCAAGGGCAAGAAATGGCTAGCTCAACTGCTTTTGGGGTGTGGGATCAGGCCGGGGGGAAAGCACAGAGAACGTGCAAAAAAGCTTGATTGTTAGTGTGTCTGATTTCACACCTGCCTTTGAGCATCTGACCTGCATGTATCTGTGGTTATAATCAACCACATGACACCACCAGAGGTGGAGGCCACCGCTGCTCCTCCATAATAAAGACCTGGGCGCACAGCAGCCCCTCCCTCAGGCCCATGACTTAACTCCTGAAGGCAAGTGGAATTTCCTCCTTACTAGTCACTAAGACACTACTTTTCTTCTCCTGTAGTTCCTGAAGGTCATCACTTGTCAGTAACTTTTTATGACCCAGGACCTCACCATGAACATGAAGGACAGTTCTGATGAGCACAGGCTTACACTCCTAACATAACCAACTTCTCTCCAAAGCAATGCGTACACAAACAGGATCAACACCTGGCTTCTCTGTTTTTGCTTAAAGTCACTTGTTGTCTTTGAGGGATGAGAAAGCAGAGAGCCTGAGTTCATGCTGTGGGACATGACTGAATTGCATCTGGGTTTCATAACCTATCCCCCAGTGTGTTGAGGTGCCCAGACTGTTCCATAGCAGGTCTGGCTTTACACCGTGGTCTGAGGACAGTTGTAGTCCTCAACTTTCTATTCTGCTAAACTTTTCCTACTGTGTCCCAACTGAATGAAAAAGAAAGAAAGGAAGGAAGGAAGGAAGGAAGGAAGGAAGGAAAAGAAGGAAAAGAAGGAAAGGAAGGAAAGAAAGAAAGAGAAAAGGGAGAAATAAAAAAAAGGCTATGAGTGCTCCTGGGTATGGTAGAGGAGAAGATTTAAAAACTACCATGCAGGCATCCCACCGAAGCCACTGTGCTCACTCAGCTCTGTCACAGGGCTTTGTCATGGAAGTCACCTGGGGCAAGAAGCTACATCTTCTAGAGAAAGGAAAAGGTATCTAGAATTTGTAAAATGCTTTGAAACTCTGGATCATCTGCTTACCTCAAACAGATCTTACTCAAGGATAGGGAAAAGAAGTCACAGTGGCCACAGCAGGAAACATGAGCCCTCCTCCATCCCTCCCCTTCCTGTCACAGGCCTTGTCTACAGACTGTCGGCTGGCGTCAGAGGGAAAAGTCTCCTTTATACTCCATAGCTGAGACATTCCCTAAACATGAGCTCATAGACACTGCCACAGATCAACACCAGTAGATTACAGACATGGCCTAGGGAAGCAGACTGGCAGATGAATCAGAAAAGACTGGGGCCTAACAATAGAATATTACTGAATCTTTTCAAAGTCTTCTCCTTGGCTTGTATGAAAAAAGTCTCCCTAAAATTCTATGGCCTCATTCTTCACTTTATCCTTTGTTCTGTAACAAGGCTGCATGGAGCTAAGAAAGGAAAAACAAACAAAGGTACTGTTGTACTCTGACCCAGCCTGTCCCTGAGACTCAGCAAAGCTGTTATCAGAGGCTGATTGACTATCCCAGGAGCCGGGCTCTCTACTTTTCCCTTATCATACCTGGAAGCAAAGCAGGGTCTCACATAAAACTCCACACAAACTGTCTTCTGAGGAGGAAGAGAAGATCTGGGAGGTAGGGACCATGGGTTACCATGCTCATTCCCACAAGCCACTATGTCACAGGCAAAGGCCCCTCACTCACCTTCAGGGCGCTGGGCCAGCACTGCAGTGAGAGATGGAGCACCATAAGGAAAGTAGGTCTTGAGGGAAAACTTTGTCTACGAGAGTCAGAATGGAAGTGGCGTGAATGCTGGGCTGGAAAGCTGTGAGGACACTGCAGACCTCTGCCTGTCTGCCCTAGAGACCCACTGTACTAACGCAGCAGGATGCAGCCTCAAACACTTTTATAAGCATGCTTCCAGTAATCTTATAAGTAGCCAAAACAGTATCTTTTAAAAGTCATCTTCTGGAACTTAGGGAAGTCACATTATCTTGCTGCCATCTCTACTTAGGTTTCTCCTCACACAAACCCAGCCACAAACATTATCTTATATTTTAGAGAGGGCTGCTAAACACTTGTGGGACTGGGGATCTCAGTGTGGCATTTATGACAATCAAAGTCTCTAACAGGCAGCTCTTATGCTGAGAGCATGAGGCTATACTTACTTACCAGTGTTTCCCAAAGGCACAGAGGTTTTGAAATAAAACAAGCAACAACAAAACCAGGTAAAGTCTACAACACATAAGTTACACAGGCCATTAAGTATATAGCTTGATAATCCTGGATGAGTCTGTGAATCCACCTGACTAGTACCCCATCATGACACACACAATGCTGCTGTCACCTTGGGGAGTTCCCCAGGACTCTTAAAGTCAACCTCCAACCCTAGCCTGACAATCAATATTTTTATTTCAACAGGAGAGATCAAGAATTAGATCACTTATTCCCAATTTTCACATAAACAGACACACTGAGTGTGCATGCTTCTGCATCTAGTCTTCGTGGTCACAGGACTCATCTGACTGCATACACAGCTCATTCTTTTGCACTGCTTAGAAGTAATGAATATACCAGGATTTGCTTATCTACCCCTCAAAGATGACTAGAATTAAAACTACTACTGACATTCAAGTCTGTCTTTGTGGACAGGTCTTTCAATTTTCTAGGGTGAGTACCATGGAAGAGGTAGCTTTTCAAGGCCAACAATGTTCCATTCCCACCATCTCGGGATGAGAATTGCTTGCCAATAATGGGTGTTCTGGAACTCATTAATTTTAGCTGGTCTGCCTGGCATGAAACATTACTTCACACATGCATGCTTCTGAGCTTGCTGTGTGTGGCAGGTGATGCTGAACTCTGTTCATGTGCTCAGCAACAGTTTGAATAGCTTTCTGAAGTATGCGTCCAAAAAACAAAAACCTGGCTCTTGTTTCCTATGAAGCTGTAAGAGACAAAGTCTTCTAGGATGAATACTGCAGATACTTCCTCTAAGCTGCTGGACAACCTGTTCATCTTCAAAGGCATCTACCACAGAACAGACACTATATTTTAATGAAGCCCAATTTATCTATTTTTTTCTGTATGGCCAATGTTTTGTTTTGAGCATTGTTTCTAGGAAATCTTTGATTATCCAATGTTAAAGAAAAAAGATATGCTATGACATTTTCTCCTAAGGGCTTTATAGTTTTGACCTTCCTATTGAAGCCTATGATCCATCTCAGAACACGTTCTGTGTGCTTTCTGTGGTGGTCTGAGGTATACCCCTTCCCTCAATGGGTATCCAGTTGTCTTTATATACTTCCTCACTACACTGCCCTAGCATCTCCTGTATCTAGACGCTGTCTGTCTTGTCAACTCCTCACTGGCTTAATTACTCTAAGTATGAGTCCTCAAACTGTTTGCTTTCTGGCTTTTGTAGGTCCTTTGTATGTCCAACTTAGTCTGAGAATCAGCCTATGTATCTGCATTTGAGAAAGCCTGCTGCATGGGCCAGAGTCTGTCATATAAGGCCATAGGCTTGATTCCCAGCCCTGGAGAGGGGTCACTGCTCGCCTGAGAGAAACCAAGAAGCAGAAGGGCAGGTCAGGGGAACAGACCTGAAGGCTCCTGCACATGGCTTCTTGCTATTGTATCTGGGGCTGTTTCAGTTGCCCTCAGCAAACCAGCTTCCAAGTATTTTATGTGGGATTGGGTTTGTCCATTTCTGCCATCAGTTCTGCTTCATGCATTCTGAATCCCTGCATGTTTATGACTGGCATGTCTCCTGATGAACAGCTATTCTGTCACTGTGAATGCCACTGTCTAAATCTGTCTTCTCTATGCCTGAGAACCCTGCACTTCCTTTCTGTGCAGCAGCTATCTTTCCTTTCACTTCCAGCCTCTGTCTTTAGAATGGGGTCTCTGGAAACAACACATACTTAGTCTTGTTTCAAATCCAATCTGACATACCTGCCTTTTTACTCCATCATTTGATTTTCATAAATGAACATCCCTTTAACATGCTGGATGGAAGCTATCTCTTGACATGGTTTTCTTTTGTCCCATCTGTTTCTTTCCTTCATTGGACATCTAGTAGAGCTCTGTTTCCTACCTCAGTTCTGGGATCACCTTGAGTTGTGGTTCCATGCCCTGCTGTCCCAGGGGCCTTAGTGAGAAGTGGGTATAGTTCCCATGCTGAGGCCCTTCCTGTTCTTGTCAGCTTTGTTGGATTTAACAATATTCCACCCAATGTGATAACTTCATCTGTGGGAGACTCAACACAACCAACTGTCTATCTGTTCAACTGTTGGAACTCCTCCTGACCCATGGCTGCCTGTACTCCACAAAAGCTTAGAGTATGAGCTCAAGTTCTTGCCTGCTACTAAGTAGTGCTGTTCCATGCTCCCCACACTGGGTTAAGAGGAAAGGATAGATTGGAAAGAAGCACATACAATATCCTCTCTGACAAAGGGATATGAGTGGGATAAGAGAGCACTGTACTTTGTAACCAACATGGCAGGACCTGTGAAACCTAACTCTGCACCCCATAAATGGGCACTTCTATTCTTGTCACCCAAAAAACATTCAATACAAAATGTTTACAAAAATAAAAGGTAAAAGGTAAAAATAGCCGAGTGCCAGGAACTAGAGAATGGCTATGCTGTGGTACATCTGTGCAGTGGACTGCCACAAAGCCACCTCTCACCAGTGTCAGAGGCCTAACACCATCTTTAAAGCACCGAATAGAGAAGCTAGGCTCAGGGGTCATATGTGCCGCCCATGTGTGTGTGTGTGTGTGTGTGTGTGTGTGTGTGTGTGTGTGTGTCTCATAAATCATCACATGTGTACATGAAGGTGTTTGCAAGGTCAGGAGGTTGCTGCTCACCTGTGCGTGGAGCCGAAGGCAGGTGATAAACTCTTGTTTGTTTCTAGATTCCTACCTTGCCCTCTCACTCCTAGACATATGTGCCCAGCAGTCACTGTTTTAAATTAAAGGCACTATAACTCCAGTTCAAATCTACAGCACCAAGGCCATCAGGCACTCAAGGCAAACCCAGAACAACATTCAAGTCAATGCTAAGGAAAAAAACTTTCTCTTGTCCTCTGTCCCAACTTGGGCAACCCAGAAGTCCAACCAAGGACAAGGTTTGATGGACCATTTCTACCCTGGGGATACCAAGAGTGGATAAAGCAGGATAGCACATGTTTACAGCTGTGTTCAAAACAATGAGTGCCAGCCAGTGCCTTTTGGTTGAGGTCTCCTCCCAGATGCCAAGCTGGGAATCATCAATGTTGTTTGCTATAATCGAGTTAATTTCCCCAGGGAAAGAGGGATGGCAAGAATAAACCAAACATGTTTATGGTTGCCTTAGAAAGCAGAAACATCTGCTAAAACCTGAGAGAACTCTACAGCCTTGGGCTGAGTAGGATTTTAGAGGGTTGAACAACCTAGCTCTGCCCTCCTAAGTAAGACTGCAGACAGCAGCATAGGAGAATAGGCCATCCTTCACAGGAAAGATGTCTAGAACCAGTGCCATTCCAAGTAGGCAAAGCACCACATAAATATCATCCCTGTGGCCAAGGCTGCTTGATAGGAAAAGCTCCTGCTTCACATGGTCATTCTAACTGACCAGCAGCCCTCACAGGTGCTGTCCAACCTCTGCTGATGGGAGCTTGGAGTCCTCTGGTCTACTGACGGCATCTAACTTCTACTAGTTCTTCAAGTTCCTCCCTTTCCCCACCTCCTTTCTCTTCGGGGACTCTAGTGAGAATAAAGACAATGATCGTTGAGAACACCCAGCTTACAGTTTGCATCATCCCAGGTAGACTACATAATGTCTCTTGCTGGCCACAGGGCCAGCGGCAGACAGAAGGTAAACACAGATAGCAAGGGGGGATGAGGGCTGGTAGGGATTTTCCGTCTAGAGAGAGGCCAATATGAAGACGCACTCAAGACACAGCAGTGGGCAAATGGTTACAGGCACAGGGCATGGGAAGACAGACAAAAATCTTTACTTTCAGTTAAAACATTTCATCTCTGCAGGAGTGGTCCTTTGGAAGCTTTCTTTGTGAACAAGACTCCATCAACATTTCTGAAAACAAGGCTGGAGTGCAGCCAGTGTCAAAGCATGCGCCTGGCATGTGTGAGGCTGTGGGTGGTCTCCAACACCAGAAAAACACAATTTCTGCCCGCAGCAGCCTCCTTCACTCTGAAGTGACTGAGCAGCACTCGTAGTGTGATGTACCTGCTTGTTTTCTTTTTCCAGAGCTTCTATCAAGCACGACATGAATACCTGAAGAGCAGCTAGTACTTCTGGGGCTCCATCAGTCTCCAGCAGCACAAACCTGAACAAAGCAAAGTGAGATGACAACAGGCTGCTGCTCCATACACATCCCAAACCCACGCCACAGCTGGAGCTGCTCGGAGCTCATCCTGAGTGAGGCAGGAGGAAGCAGCCACCCTCAAGTCCTTCTCATTCGCCCTTCTCATGGGCTGGCTACTGTTTTCAAGCACCTTCATGTTCATGGCTCAAACAGTACCAACAGCGGGTGTTTTGCTTTTAGCAGCTGGGACAGAGCTGCCTGGAGAGTGACAGACTCAGTCAGAATCACCAGAGAGCAGGGAAACCAGGTGTACTTGGTTTGGTTTCCATGCATTTTTATACAATTAACTTTCCTTTTTGTTTAAGAAAAAAAATCTTTTTTCAAACTTGACTATCCCTAAACAAAAACACTCCTGTCTTCTTACATCTGTGGCCATTTAAGTTAAAGTTGGTATGTTTTAAGAGCAACACAAATGGTGATGTACTGGTTGTCAAACTTCCTTTCCTAGGTCTGGGGAGATGGCTCAGTGTTAAGAGCACTTGCTGCTCTTCCAGAGGACTTGAATTCAATTGCCAGCATCCATATCAGGCAGCTCACAACTGTCTGCAACTAGCTCCTGGGACTCTGACACCTCTGACCTCTGCAGGCACCTGCACCACTGCATGTACCCAAACAGACACATATATACCTACACATAAATAAAAATAATAAATCTTAGAAAATTCCTGAGCCTGCTGTCTACCCCAGAGCCCTTCCTCCATAGCTATGTGAGAGAGAGTGGTTTGAAGGCAGATACAGACCCTAGTTGCTCACACCCACATGGGGCTGGAAGCCTTAGTCTGTCATTAGGACTCTACAATTACAACCCCCATGAACTTCAGGAGCAGAGCCAACCTGGTGTGTTACACACTCCTTATCACTGGTCTTCTAAAGTCAGCATATGCCCTCAGGACCCGAGTCTTTAAAATAAAAACCACCATGCTGTTGTAATGTGGGTTTATTCTGCCTTTCAAATGGCTCTGTTCAGAACAGCTCTGTGTCTCTTGGCTTTCTTCAGGGTCTTTGACAAAGCCTAGTCAGCCCTCGTGTGGTGAAGGGCTGTACTGCTTGCTTTACTTGGAGCTGGGGAAAACCCTGCATGTATATTTAACTAATTCAATCCCACTTCTCTATCATTGAGTATAAAAAGGCTCAAGAATACTGCCTCATTCCTAGCTACTACTGTCTTTTCAGTACGCAATGACTTCTGTGTTTTCACCACTAACTACCCAAAAACTCAAGCATCTACTTTTCCATGACAGCCAGAGACTACTGCAAGGCTTTTATTATGTTTGGAAGCTGAGCATTTCCAGATCAACTACTCCCAAAGACACTGTATTTACCGGAACATTTCATCTACAATTCTGAAGATGGCAGGGTGGCAGGCTGCTTGAGGCTGTAAAAGGAAAAGACAATGAATAGTGAGATACAACAGGTACCCATCAATAGCAACTTTGGATTATCAGGCAAACAGGGGGTCTATGGCTGCTCCAGAAGGGGGCACATTCCTTTAGGTTAGGCAGAACGAGCACTGGGTGCATAGAAAAACCCACACATAAAATGACAGCAATGGTTCTCTGGGCAAACTTCACTTATTTTTGTATTCCTATTATATCTCATATTTTCTATAATAAGCCCGTATGATGTAGCAAAAAAAAAAAAAAGAGTAAGTTTCATGAGCAGTTAAAAACCACTTTACAAGAGGTCACAAGACCTACCCTAGAACCTCCTCAGCTGGCCTATAGGTACCTCAGCAGCAGCCTCTGCGGTCTGCTTACCCTCCACCCCATCGCCCCCTCTGCCCCCTGAGATGGACATTTGGTGCAGGGCACACCTAGTGGTTAATGGAAAGCACAGCTGCATGACACCCAGTGATAGACAGCTCTCTAGTTAGTCCCAGAATAGCCTAGTGGTGGGTTTTTGACAGTTTCAGTCCAAAGAAGCTGGCCCTGGGGTCTAGGAAGGGCCTCAGTAGGCCTTACCAGCTTCCATGTATTTTTGGTCAGTACTTAAAACCTGAGTTTATGAGAGATCAAAACAAACAAACAAACAAAAAACCTATTTGCATTATAAAACTCATAGTGGCATCTAGATACGAATAGGCCAGGTTCTAATAAGAGAATTTCTGAAGTCATTTTGTGCTTGCTATGACTAGTTTTGGAAAACATTTTTCATAGCCATCTCAGGCCCTATGCATCACTTTTCTGAACAACCCTGAAGCTGAGTGTCAATCTCCTTGGCTTCTCATCTGTTAGTTCTGCCATGGCAGCTTAACTTGAAACATGGAATATGTGCCATCTAGTGGTCATATGTGAGCATTACAGACTGCCACAGACAAATCAAAGACATTTACGCAAGTTAATGCTTTCTGATTTTCAAATAAAGTAACCCATGATTTCTAACCCTTTGCCAATATACATTTTTGTCCAAATGAAGTGAACCTCAGATTCTCATAAACTTGTTACCTACTTAAGAAGTGAACAACAGAGGAAGGACAGGTTATTTCTTGGCTTTGATCTCAGAAAGTCATTTAATTTGCCTGTCCCTCAAACTCACTGTAAACACTAACAGTTGTTAGGGCACTTGGACATAGACCCAAAAGACACTGAAAAGTTTCTATGTGATCATAATGGAAAAGTCCAAACAGGAGAAAAGCAAATTGCATGTCTTAAAGAAATAGAATTCAGCCAAGTTTGCCAGGACAATTCCATTTTGTGTAGGAATGCACCTTCTAAAAACAAAGTCAAAAGCCCCCCAACAAAGTCACACACCCACAGGCACAGACACAGTGCTGAATGTGCACCGAGGGAAAATAAGACCAGAACTGGATTCAGGGAAGTAAAGCCATTTTATTTTTATTCCAAATGCCTTAACTACCACCACCACCACCCTACCACTGCCCGCCAGCCACTGAAAGTTTGAGAATCATGTGGTCTGAGAACACGAATTTCTAAGTTCTTAAAAAAAAAAAAAAAAAAGATGTAAGAGGTAATTGGGTGGTTACCAAAACCACAAGAGGACACAAGGAAGGGTGTTCTAACCTAGTTTGTCAAAGACAAAACTGGGTGAGCTTCACTTTGATGCAGTGGTTCCTTCTGAACAGCTCAGCTGCCAATTCCAACCCAAACAGGCCACGGAGTCCACCCACTCTCTATGCGGCTGGACTCTATATGTAGATGTCTTTCTTTGTAGGGACTTCAGATTAGTGGTTTTCTCCCAGCTTCCACAAGAAACTTTAGATTCTAAAACAGGAAGAGACAAGCAGGGCGTCTGCTGAAATAGCCATGCCAAGGGTTGACGTTTAGCCCTCCTTACTGCTCTCACTGAGAGAACCCTTCTCCTCCACACTCTCTATTGCAGATTTTCCCAGAACATCATTTCAGTGTCAGTAAGTTGCTTCATAAAAACCAAAGATTCTCAGGTCCCTGTGACACACTTAAGCTGATTTTCTCACCAGAACTAAAGCTTTTCTGCATGCTTCTCCGAAAGCCAAATTCCACCTCTTACAGAGTCCTTGTGAGGAGGAGGGAGATCTAAGTCCTCTGCACAGTGTTTTACAGGTCAGGTGGGACATCATAGGTCGCTCTGCATTCCAGGGCTCTACAGACCTGCTCTAAAACACGAGATCCATGCAATTATCTTTCCTACTAAAATAAGGAAAAAGAAAAGGCAACGCTGCCTCAGGTTCCATCTGCTCATCTGTTTTCCTCCATCCCTCAAAAATCTGTTCCTTCTCAAACCCTCATCCATCTGGCCTAACAATCTTCACGTGGAGACGGCTTCATGCCAGGGAAACCACGCCATCAATAGACGGTACTCTACCCTCTCCTTGCCCTCCTCACTTTCAATAAGCATTTGAGGGTAGACAGATGATGATGAAGACCTGTGGCCTCCTCACCCTCTTCCTTTGCTGGGAGCCAGAATGTTCTGTCAGGTACACAGCCTCACCATCTGATGAGACTCTTTCCTCTATGTTCCCTCTACCCAGGATGGCTCATTTCCATCTCTCAATGACACTCAAGATGAGTCAACATGGACAGAGCATCAGTAAGAGAGGTGAGGAGCGCTGGAGGCCAGCTTCTTCCCACTGCACCATGAGCTCTGCAAGTGGTGCTGACTCTCGCTGGCCGCGGAGCTCAGTAACCCTGCTATTTTCCTCCCAAGGCATCAAGGGTTACTACAAGGTACCTGACACTCCAAAGAGGCCGGGAACTCACAGCACATTTCTCAAGAACAGGACACACTTTTTCTATCAATTGTTTTCGGATTATGTGTATGTGTGTGTGTGCATGCATGTGAATGCGTGCACGCGCAAGAGAGAGAGAGAACAAGAAAGGAAACTCATAAAGTGATTCACTGAGAAAAGTGAACACCTCTCAGAAAAAGACAATGGAGGACCAGGGAGACTGAAGTCACAAGTCTTCGATTGCACAGACTCATGTTCAGTAGTTCAGGATGGGTTCATTTGAATATTGTTTGATGCTTTACTCAGAAAAGAGTCATTTGAGAAAATCAGCTGAGAAGTTTCCCCTCCAATTTGAACACCAGAAGGGCAGCCCATCCCCCATCGAGTCAACCCCCTGCTCTACTGACAAGAGACACCCCTCTCTGTATACAGACATGAGTTAAAAGGTGACTATGAGAGACATAAATGCAAACAAATCCAAACAAAACAAAAAGAAAAGCCTTTTCTAAAGGAATATTCCTCATAGGCTTCAACAATAAACTCATTTACTGAATTAAAAATGATTTAGCTTAAAAAAACTACCTATACAAAAAAACCTTCATATTTATCATGTAATAAGGCATTTTCTATTTTTAAAATGTTAAACATAAAACTAAATAACCCTTTCACATTTTAGAATCCATTTTGTTTTAAAAGATTCCTGTTTCTTACAACAAATTTGAGCGCTCTTTTTAATCTTTGCCAGATGTTGTTTATACCACAAGCGATTTTCAGTACCCCATAATGCAATTATTGTTTAATTAGTGATAAATCTGTCATTCTTGGGCTTAAAACCTTAACAAGTACCAAATGTGCTCTTACATTGTAAGTTTACGTGAGGTCTCAATGTCAGGACAGAGAAGGGGGGGTGCACACTGTGGGATGCCCAGCTCTGCACAATGGACAAACTTTGCTGGCTCTGGTCCCTGTGCGCCTATACTCAAAGGAAATTTCTCAGGTCCCACTGCTGTTCAACTTGACCTCTGGGTGGGAGAGACTGCCATGGTCCACTATTTTTGTGATCTGTCTGTGGTCCTCTTTCCCCACTACCTTCCAGTAGCTACAAGTCCTGCAACCCCAAGAATGAAGATTATCCTGCATCCTTGGCTTTCTTTGGAGACAATACTGGGGCATCTGGTGCCCTCCTGAGGCTGACACTGCAAAGTGCAGCATAGACAGAAGCCCCACAACACTTCTATGGTCCACCATGGCTAAGTCTTCTACTCCAGTTCTGGTTTAATTGCATGTATCACATCAGAGCTCAAGCAGGAAGTACTTCAAGAACACTAACGAAAATGCAGGAAAAGAAAATGCTAGAACACAAGTGGAAAATATTCATACACAAAAAATCAACAACGTCGTTGAGGACAGGAGTTACCCCTTTGATTGTATTTTAGTGATGGCATTGTGCAGGGGTTTTCTGGGCAGTTTCTCCTTCTGAAGTCACAGTGACTGCCCTCTGAAGAATGAGAACAAAGACACTTCCTAGCCAACAGGAGGAATACACTGAGATGTCTGAAGCTCAAATACACAATGGTACTTTTTATTGAGCTACCAATTCTTCTAAGTAAGATAATTAATGAGGGATAGTCTCTGACTTAAGATCAGAGTAAAACAAAAGCCCTACCCTACCTCCTGCCTCCCACCTCCCATGCACCCCCTCTTTGGGGCAGCTCTCCTAGGTCCCAAAGTGGTGGCTTCCAGCAGGCGGGTCAGCCCACGAAGGAGTGCACAGGAGGGCATGGGAACCACGGTGCCCCTGGCTCTGGCACGTAGCACAGTGTAGCAGCCAAACACAGGCCACCCTGCCATCCAGCCAGCCCTTTTCATTCAAATTGGGGACCTAAACAATAGCTTTCTGGGCTCCACACACAGAACTCTAACAGTAAAACAGCCTCCTTGATACAAGGCCAGCCTGGGCAAAGAGCATAGTGCCAAAAGGGCTGCATAATTAGCAAGTGGCTTTCACTACTTCTCTTGACGTCAGTTTTTAAGGTCAGGTCTGAGGCTACGGATTATGGTCTCCTGGTGACTGCTCTGTCAAAGGAAACACAAGACCATCTGTTTTTGAAACTTTTAGTCTGCACAGTAAATGACAAACTGGGGTTAATACTCTGATCTATCTGGGGCCAGCAACTATGGCAGGCAGCCATGATCTGGGACAATCCAGAGTAGAGAAGCCAAAGGTTGAACCTCACACATAAACAGGTTTGAGAATGTATTTTTATTTCACAAGTCACACACATGTGCATACACACACATCTCATGCAGAATTAAGGCAACGTCAGACTAGTCTCTTATTATTCATTGTCTTACCAGAAACTTCCAGGCCTCTGAAGTCTCTGAAAGGCCAAAGGACATTCAGGGAGGTCATTATACTTTGCATAGCACTTTTATCTTTTTTTTTTTGCTATATCTGGGTAACTATAGAATTTCCAGGAATCATTTTGGATAGTCCCAAGAGATGGGAATATAATTAACAGTGTTCCACACAAAACATAAGTTATGTAGACCATCACACTTTAATTACTGTCAGAATCCAGCGCTAATGCAATTGGCATCAGGTTTCTTGGGCAGCAAAATGCCGCAGTCGAGCTGAGTCTTACAGATCTGATACTGCGAATGGCCCTGTCAATGCTCGAAGATGCTGCACTGCGATAAATGAATCAGAAGATGTAATTAGGAAGCAGGTTCTTCAAGTTACCCCTGTAATCATTCAGCCAGGTCACGGGCTTATTCTATCCTGCTGAGCTCTGCTCTGTGGGCTCAATATGGTGCTCAATATGGTGGAGAAGAACTGCCTAAGCCAATCAGTGGCTTCCAGCTTGTTGTCTACATCGTAATTACCTCCATGAACCACAAGGCATAGAGAGGTCACATCCTGGTAATGCCACAATAAATTAAACCAAATAACACCCCTTCAAACCCCTCCTCAACCATAATAAAAGCTCTGAAGCTCCCCACACATGATCCTGATAAACTGCTTCTAAGCTCCTTGATGAGGAAGGTTACGGCCAACCAGTCTGAGGTTCCCTCAATACAGTGTCTATGGGAGGAGCACTTTCCTGTGTTCACATAAGGATGGCTTAGGCTGAAGGCTCTAGGTAACAGACAAGGTTCAGAGAAGAACTCATAACATCAACAGTCACAGACAGTCCATGGGACTGGGAAGGTTTCCACTGAGGGACGATGTAAAGGATGGTTATAAGCAGTCTGAAAGCAATAACCCAGTGTCATCGTTTTGCACTGAAAGCAAGGCAGACCAGAGATAAATAAGTCGCAATGTGCACATTTAATTTAGAAATAAAGACATTTACTAGACAAACTAACTTACTACCTTAATCTGGAAGGGGCTGTCAGAGGGCTTCTAGAATGATCTACAAGATCTTTAAGGAAGCTGCACTCTTATTTCTAGCCTTAAGATTCTATATAACTTTTCAAAGTGGTAAGTAGCAGCAATCATGTATGCAAATGTAAATACATATGTACATACACGTAAAAGAGCAAGAATTCGAGCAACTGCTGCCCTATGACTGACTCCTTACAGTCTCCAATCTGAACAGAGATTTCAACAATGCAGGACAGCCAGGCAGTCTCAGCACCTTCCTCAGTCTAGGTCATGACCAAGGCAGATACACACTCTTCCAGTTTCCTGGCCATTGAGTTGAGCTGTCACTATCCTGCACTGCTGTGGGAACTCACTGCCTCCATCAGCTACTCCAGGCCACAAGAGCCGTTGAGAACACAGAGGAGACTCCTGAGGTTCCTGTAAGGTGGTGCCACTGCACCTGCACTGCCCTGCTCTTCAGCCACATTATGATTCCTGGAAACATAGTAAGTTCTATTTTTTTTGTTTGTTGTTTGTTTATCAAGACAGGATTTCTCTGTATAACAGCCGTGGTTGCCCTGGAACTCACTCTGTAGACCAGGCTGGCCTCGAACTCAGAGATCCAGCTGCCGCTGCCGCTGCCTCTGCCTCCCGAGTGCTGGGATTAAAGCCATGCATCACCATGCCCAGCTCAAGTTCAACTTTTTTTTTTTTTTTTGGTTTTTCAAGACAGGGTTTCTCTGTGTAGCTTTGTGCCTGTCCTGGAACTCACTCTGTAGCCCAGGCTGGCCTCGAACTCACAGAGATCCGCCTGCCTCTGCCTCCCGAGTGCTGGGATTAAAGGCGTGCGCCACCACCGCCCGGACTTCAACTTTTAATAGGACTCACATGACTGCTCTGATAGCACAAACTCCTCTCTGTAACCATGCTGGGTGACAACTGTGTGTGGATATGCAGATGAGACAGTCGGTGTCCTGGACCTTTCACTCCAAAACCTGACACTAGGAAACTGAGATAAAACACCTTCTAGAAGAGGAAATACTGGTGCCTGTAGACTGCACTTGACACACACGTCACCATGGCCCTGCCCTGCAAACATGCACACTGAACAGGCACTGGTGGCTGGAGGCTTGCCTGAGTGAACAAGCCCTTTAAATTCACTGAGGACTTCACCAAAATCTGGGCCTTTGCTTGAAGGAACTGGTCTCCTGGAGCAGAGGTGGGCAGTTTCTTCTGTGGACACTGGCTGGTTTATTAGCACTCTGTACACAGTAAATCTTTTTCATATTTTTTAATGTGGTCTTGCTATGTTATCCAGGCTGTTTTTTAATTATATTTTATTCATTGGGGGGGGGATACATGTCATAGCATGTGTGGGGAGGTCAAAGGACAACTTGTGGTAATTGGTTCTCTCCTTCTGCCTTGTGGGTCCTGGGTATAGAACTCATGTTGCCAAACTTGACGACAACACCTTTGGTCACCCAACCAAACTGGTTTTAAACTAGGCTCAACTGACCCCGGATTTGTGTCTTCTGAGTAGTTGGAACAAGTCAGTGAACCACGGTGCTCAGTTTAGTTTGCCTTACACAGACACACACACCAACACTCACATACCTTTTGCTTATTCTTCTTTTGTGTATCTTTACCAGAAAGCAGTTCATTTGAAAGATATTTTCGTCTCAACCTGTCACTGGATTAAAGAAGAGGTCCTGGCCCTCATTAGGGAAAACATGATTCTTAGGGTGAAATTGTCACCAGATATTGTGTGATGTGTAGTTTTGGGTTTTTTTTCCCCCTGGGGACAGTGGTTCTTACAGAACCTCACTAACCCCACTAAAGGCAGACATTCTAACTAGCCAGGCCCTGACCACTGCTTGGAAGTGTGGCCGCTGATCCCAAGACCTTAGGGCTCTTGAGGAAGTGGGAGCTTCTGCATGCAGGAGCTTCACCCACAAGAAAACTTACGCAAGTCCAACTGGTTTTGCTGCTTTAAGCATTTTTCTGACCTCGTTTGTTTCTCTTGAATACTCTACTTTCTCCTCGTGAAGAGCTGGAAGTTCACTTTCTAAGTTTGTATTAACTGTTTTTTTCTCTTCCTTATAAGATCCTCTGTTTTAAGCACATGTTCCTCATGTTAAAATGAAAAACAGTAATTTTTAAAAGCCTATTCTGCATCTCTGGCCTGTTCAGACCCCTGGGAACAACATTCTACACATGCCATAGGTAAGGAGTAAGGACATGGCCTGTCTGTTTTCTCCTGTGAAATGGGGCAATGTGGTGGAACAGTGCAAATACAGAACAGCATCAGGAGGTGGGTGGAGCCAATACATGCAGACGTAAATTAGGGCACTTCTAATCAGAGGAAGCATTAGACGCTCCTAACAAAACAGAGATGGTAAGTCTAAAGGCCCTGCTCTGGTTATACTTGTTACTTCTGTCACTCTTTAACGAAAGACATTCTTCTCACCAGTTCCCTTAAGGATTTTTCTTGTCACCAAAGCCCAGCACGTACCAGCAATGACTCTTTTATACAGCACTCCATCTCTCTCAGGCAATTTCTCTTGCTGGAGAACAGCTTTTCAAAAAGATGCAGCGTTGATTTTTCAAGACTGGGGAGATGCCGAAACCAGAGGCTGACCACAGAGCACGTGGGCAGAATGATCTTTTTCCTTTGAGCAAGATAGAAACAGAAGGTTAAACAGAAATAGATTCCTAAAAAGGAAAAAAAAAAAAGAGAGAGTAACGTTCAAATGGCAATTACTAATCAGGTATGTGAGGCTTCTCACCATGGTCTTGGCAGCAGTCAGTATTTTGCACCTATTTGCAAAACACTGTGACAATCACCCACCTAAGAACTTAGTGGAATGCTTAGAAAATGAAGACTTCTTCCAAAAGCATAAACAAATACAAATCAAAGAAAGGGAAAAAAGAAAAACGAGTTGAATAAAATCCCCTTCAATGTCCAGGAAATACAGACATAAAGTTAAAAAGCATGCTATGTTTTAAACATCTGAAGTAGGCTGAGACCTGGACTGAGTCCAGAGCCCTAAGGAAGTTATCTGTCCCTTCATAGTCTCAGTTTACTTATCTGTAAAACAAAAGTAGCTAGAAGGATCCAATGTAGCAACACACATGTAATACGCATCACAGACCACACTGTGAATACTCAATAAATGTGGATATATGTCTTGATGGGAGGTGACCCAGTTGGTGCACAATGAACCTTATACTACAGCCAAACCATTTCATGTAGCTTTATTTCAGTTTTCTGTCTTTTGTGTGTAGTGTAAGTATGTTTGACAGTGTATTTCCATGAATTCATGTATGCAGAGGCCAGAGGATGACATCAGATCTCTTCCTCTATCACTCTCTGCCTTCCTTCGAAGAAGTGAGGCAGGGTCTATTCCTGAACCTACAGTGCACGGTTGTTTTTGTTTTTTCTTTCTTTTGGCGAGGCTGGCAGCCAGCTAGCACAACAACTCCCTTTCTCCATACCACTCCTCTGCCCACACACACTGCGGGGGTTACAGGCATGTCAGGGAGAACCCCCAGCTTTTAACCTGGGGGAGGACACTGCCTGGGTGGGGGACTGCTCAGCATGTCACTAATACCTGAGCCTCCTCCATCTTGGAGTAAAGATATACCCCAGCTTGTGTGTGACAAGCTCATAACTATGAACAGGAATGCCTCTGACTCTCAAAAGTGTTGTTTTCTAACTTAATAGTCATACAGTTGCCACGTATCACACAGTCACCTTATGTGGTCAGCTGGTGTTAGTCATCCATGCTGCCAGGAGCTAATTGTATTTACACACTTCTCTCATCAACTGCATAGATGTTTTCTTGCATGCCAATCTCCTATTTCTCTGGATACCACTCTGATGCCAACTACCCATGGGTACTGCAGCCATCAGTAAGCAACTCATCCACAAACTACGAGTCTTCTGGTTAAAAACAGCTTCCCATGATCCCCTCTTTGGGTATAACAATTTGGTAAAGCAGCTCAGAATTTACAACAATGCTCTACTTACAATAATCAGTAATTCATTATAAAAGAAACAACTAGGAATGGTCAGACAGAAGAGACTCACAAGACACATGGGGGATGGTCTTGGGCTTCCGATGCCCTCTCTGGGTACACCAGCCTTGCAACGTCTTTGTGTTCACCTGGATGCTTTTCAAGCCCTGTGGTTGAGCTGGTGTATCACCAGCACTGGTAATTATGCCCAGTTCTGGTGGTCAATAAGGCTGGTTGCTCTGCTGCTAGCCCTAATCCTGAAGTTCTCTGGGGGCCCAGCAGACTCACCCCTTTGCCTAAACTCACATATGGTTGGAAAAGGCTTATTGTACCAAAAGATGGCTCCCTTACCCCTGTTACTCAGGAAATCACAAAAGTTCTATAAGCCTGGACAGAGACCACACATATATTCCTTACTCTGTCATAACCCTGAAGCCATGCAGCCATTTCCTCTTTCATCTGCTTCAAGCACAGGGAAAGAAACCTCGGCATGCCGTCATCAGGCTCCCCGGTGTTTTTGAAGCACTGGATTTGGGTTTAGCTCAGAGGACATGACACATTCAATTACTAACACTCCATAGATTAATGAAACTCACCTCTGAAAGATTTTAGGCAGTCTGCAGCTTGCAGATGCTGGGACGAGACTCCCAGGGATGAATTTTATAAAATGCTAGGTTCGACATTTAAGTTAAGAAATTAAAAGGTTCCTCTAGGTCATCTAAACCACAAAGAGGAACCAGTATGAGTTGTTTAGAGGAAACAGACAGCCTATTTCTGGAAATACGTGACTGTATTTGGAAGCCAAGGCAAAAGTCGCCCAGCCAATTATAAAACACAGGAATTCCACCGTGTGCTGTGGTAAGCGGTTGAGAAGCTGAACATAGGGCAAGGCCATGTTGGTCAAAGAAAGCTGCGGTTTCTAGGAGGCCACACAGCCCATGCAAGGAACCGCTCAAGCTGGGAGGGGAACAGGGTGTGGAGCAGCAATCTGCACGGCTCACTGAGTCAGCCTCCTTTGTGGACATGTGGCGGATGGGCTCTCCACAGGAAAGCGTCCATGGAAAGGTTCCAGCTGATGCGGCTGCTAGGTTAACTTGCTGGTCTGAAGCTGTTGGAATTGGACATGTTGAGGACCACCCAGCATTTCTGGACAGTCTGTCCCTTGTGGATTAGTAGACATAACTTTCCAAACCAAATAAACTTTATTAGTTGCTGAGGGAGAATGTTCTATCATAAGTGAAATAAGAGCAAGGACAGGCAGGCCCTCACCCTGTGCACTGGGCACCACGCCTCCTGGTTGGTAATTTCTGAAAACTACTATTGGGGTTTACAAAAGATGCCAAAGGTCTGCTTTAATCCAACTCTTGTCAAAAAAAAAAAAAAGTCTGGACACAGAGAGGCGGTGGACCCCTACAATCAGAAATGGAGCTTCCACTGTGCTGTGCTGTATGAAAGGTGGGAGTTAGTGTAAAACCATTAGAACCTCAAGGACTCAGCGAAACTGTAGATGAGGATTACTCAACACCCATGAAGAACAAAGGTGATGGCAGATTTCTCAAAAATTCAGACATACTAAGTAAATTTTGACAGGAGGATTGAAGATAGAAAAAAATTACTTCAACTTTACATGTTTATTTATATGGGTATGTGGTTGTCTGTCTATGAGGGTGTGTCGTGTGTGTGCAGATGCCCACGGAGGCCAGAAGAGGACATCAATCAGATCCCCTGGAGCTGGAGCTACAGGCAGTGTGAGCTGCCAGCATGGATGCTCTGAACTAACCCTGAGCTCTCTGCAAGAGCGTCTGTGTGCTCTTAGTCCTTGACCATCTTACCAGCCCCTGGCTTTTCAGATTTTAACCATGAAAATTACGATTTGGTGTTTCACTTTGTTTGGTTTGTTGATTTTTTTTTTCCAGATAGAGTCTTGGTACAGCCCAGGTTGGCTTTGATTTGTGGCAATTCTCCTTTCTCAGTCTCCTGAGCGCTGGAATTACAAATGTGAGCTATCATATAAAGTTCTTGTTTTAACCTTTTTTGAAAACATTAAACAACTTAGCCTTCTCTGGATTATCAGTTTTCACAGAAAATACAATATGTATCATCTATAAATGTTAAGAGTTATGTATGGGAGATGTAAATTCTCTACCAGGTTCATTTCCCAAATGCAATGATACAACAGGATACCTGAGATGAACAAGATGACCCACTGATGACAGCCAAGATTTCACAACAAAAGACAGTAGCTAGAGAGTAAGAAAAGTCTAAAATGCACACATGGGGCAACACAGCAAATGCTGCTGGATCACAGAGTGAAGCTGGACAGACAGACAGGACAGACAGGTGTACTCACAGGTGGTCAGGAAGCTGTAACATGCAAAGATGCTGTTCTCCCTAGGCACCCACACACTTGCTGAGGTCTTCCCCAGATAACATGAGGTATCGTTGCAGAGGCCAAATCACTTTTAGAGTTTATATGGAAGGTAAAACAAGCAAAACACACACACACACACACACACACACACACACACACACACACACACACGCACCATTAAACTACAAAGGAAGAAAAATGAGAAGAAATAGACCTATTTTATGATAAACAAACTGAACTCTACCACTAAAAATGTCAACAGGGCATGAATACATAATAGATCAGAATGAAAAGCAGCAAGGCAGGCCCATCTGCATTCAGGAACTGAGCACAGGCTACATCCTGGCGGGAGAGGGCTGGCATCCTTCACTACACCAGAGATGGCCAAATGTTCTGCAACCTGAAAGCAGAGCAAGGTAACCTACTACTTTAACAAATACTTTGCAAAACCAACCTACAGCTTGAAAGAAATGTAAACGAACTTATGAACCAAACACCATAGAGAGCTTTGAACTCTTGATTCTAACAACTAAAAAAAAAACAATTTACAAAACAGAAGAACTTAGGTCCTGATTAGACATAAAGCAATGATAAGGAACTAAAAACAATTTTAGATGTGCTGGTGGCATTATATATGGCTTTTAGATTTTTTGCATTTATGTATTATTTAAGTATTTTGTTGTGTGGAGGCATGGGCAAACCACAGAACACATATAGAGGTCAGAGCACAATCTGCAGGAGTTGATTCTATCTTCCCTTCAGTGGGTTCTGGAGATTGAACCTGGGTCACCAGGCTTGGCTGAAAGTGCTCTTATCCCCTAAGCCATCTTGCCAGCCCTAAAGGTCTGTTTTGAAAAAAAAAAAAATTCTTATATGTTTAACAATTCCCATTTTCGGTCTAAAGGCATTTAAATAAAGAATTGAGGGAAATATACTAATAAAATACTTTTTAAAGCATAGTGCTTTTAACATATTAAAGGAACATAGTAGTAAATATTTTAAAATCACATCAATGTTCTTTGGGCATTATGTATGTGTGTGTGCTTCTGTATTCATAGCACTGTACCTGTAGTATGTACAATGAGAAAAAAATTGCATTATCTGCGCTTTGAATTTTTAGCATGAATGAATCTGATTTTCTAAGACTGAGTAGAATACAGAAATTTCCATAAGAAAGAAACACAGGTTCAAACAATGCAGAGAAGTCACTCACAGCAACAGCTCAGTGTGGAGCCCACAGCACCTTGTTGTGGGCAGGGCACTTCAGACTCACTCAAGGCACTGTGAGCTCAAGGTCATTTTGTAACAATGCTGATGGCTTTCACCTTTCCTAGACCCTCCCCTTCCCTCCTCCCCACTGAACCAGGCTGGGCAAGTGGTTCACAGCTGGCTGCACTTCCAGTCCTCATGCTCAGGAGTGTACAGAGGGGCTGCACAGTGACTACATGATAGCTAATGTTACTTCTGACACTCAAAAGAACATGTTTGTATATTTTTGTATTTGAAAAAGAATTTAAAGGTAAGAACATTTAGGGAATTTTATATATTTTCAGAGGTTCACTTAAAGTTTATTCTCTTTCTTCTACTATGCTTTTTGCCAGTCTCAATATATCTGATATAAATCTTGTAAGCCTATTAGTATAAAAGAAATAAGTATTTTAAATACTCTGATGTTTTCCTTTGTGCCTACAAGGAAATATAATAAAAGGTAAATACACAAGAAAATATTCCTTTTCAATAATGTATTTTTGAAGGGATCTGAAGAGATGGCTCAGTGGTTGAGAGCACATGTGTTGCTCTTGCGAAGGACTCAGGTTTGACTCCCAATACCCACACAGTGGGTGACAACCATCTGTAACCCCAGTTCCAGGGGAGCAAACAGGCACATGCATTGTGCACATACATGCATATAGGCAAAACATTATTCATACACTTAAAGTAAAAATAAATCTAAAAAATTATACTCTTGAAAGTTTTCTAAACTTTTATCAATTATTTTGGATAATTATATATTTTATACAAAATGTTTTATCAAGATGCAGTATATGTTTTATAGTTACATATTTTAACGTATGATTTTCATTATATTATAACTTACCATATTTCATACAAAATGAAATGTATAGTCTACTTTCTTGAATTTAAGAATGGATGGCTGACTTTCAAAGGGGGGTTAGAAGATTTCCACTCCCATCCCATAGCTGTTTTGTCAGGAGAAGATGAGCCAACAGATCAGAGCACTGACTCAGGAGGCACAGGCATCTACTCCAGAGCATGTGTACACACAAATGAGAGCAGGACTGAGGAAAGCTGTCTTCTCTGGGCTTTACAGCAGCTGGCATTTGCTGTCCTGTGTCTTCTGTGGCACCATGCTGACATGCTAGTGCAGTGCAAGTTCACTGTGGCATCAGGGAGACCTCCAGTGACTTCCAATGGTCATTGAGAAGTGTAATAAAATGAATCCAATGATTTATAGAAAGATGCTACACTTCATTAGTGTCTCCCTCCAGACCTGGCTAAAATTGCTGTACCATGGTCCATCTACTGGCAATATCAGCCAAGCACTAAAGACTTTGTCTGTGAAACAGCCATAGACATTTAAAGTGCTGAGTAACCATCTAGAGTCCCATGGATTCTCCTGAACCACTGCACTAGCAGTGCACAGGCAAGAGCAGGCAAACTGTCCCTGGGTGGTTAGAGACACTCACTGCACCCTCACCCCTGCCTGCACCTTCACAGGGAAAGCTAACATACTCAACAAGAGCTTTTGATGGGGCGATATAAAATACAGACTTGGCCGGGCGGTGGTGGCGCACGCCTTTAATCCCAGCACTCGGGAGGCAGAGCCAGGCGGATCTCCGTGAGTTCGAGGCCAGCCTGGGCTACCAAGTGAGTCCCAGGAGAGGCGCAAAGCTACACAGAGAAACCCTGTCTCGAAAAACCAAAAAAAAAAAAAAAAAAAAAAAAATACAGACTTTGTTAACTGTCACTCTTAGGAAGAGTTTCAGAAATTCTTCATGGCAAAGGAGAACATTTGAGACACACTGCCCCATGCCCAGCCTGTTCTGTCTGCAGAGAGGCATTCCTGTGCAAGTCTGAGCTCTCGCTTCAAGTGATACTTTCATTCCATAGACAGTGACTTCAAAGAATGACAATCCATCAATAATGTTTATTTATGTAATTATATGGCACATACTTTCTTAACAACTAACAAAGTGACCAGGTCACCTTTAAGGGGAAAAAAAAAAAAAGGATAGAATTTGTGGTCCATGATAGGCAGGAAGTGTTTTTATTTTATTGATTTTAAGCCCTTTGTAGTGGCATGTACCTGTAATCCCTCTGCAAAGTAGGCAGAGACAGGAGGATCCCAGGGCATATTCTTTATTTGAAGATAAATTACTTTGTTATTACCTCTATGTACATGTGTAGTAACAGTGCACACAAGCCATGGCATCTATGTGAAAGTAAGAAGACAATTTTTTGGAAGCTAGTTCTATCCTCCAACTATGGATTCCACATACCCACTCAGGCTGCCCGGCTTTCACCCTGTGAGTTATTTGGCAGCCCAAATTTAAGGTTTTAAGGGGAAATTAGAGCCTTGGAAGATCTGTGGTAGCTTTTTAACATTTTGTGACATGTCAGCATGGATGACAGTGACAACAGCAGCTGTTAAGTTTTCACCATATATGGAATATGCCAACATTGACAAAATGTGCATAAGATAAGGAGGGAGGTTTTCCGAATGAGCCACACATCATGCTACAAAACCATACAGAGGTACAAGACCTGAACTACAAAACAGGCATGCGTGTACATTCATGTACATGGTGCATGTGCACATCTAGAGGCCAGACACTAGATGTCTTCTGTAATCACTCTCCAGTTTATTTTTTGAGACAAATCTCTAACTTGGCCTGGAGCCTCTGATCTGGTTAGGCTGTCCCAGGGATCCTCCTGCCTCTGCTTGCCTTTCACTAGGATTACAGGTACAAACCACCACAATGGGCTTTTCCTACATAGGTGCTGGGGTCTGGACTCAAGCACTCATGCTTGCATGGCAAGTACTTTGCCAAGTGAGCCACCACCCCAGGCCAGGTCGATAAATTTTAATGTAACAGAGTATAAAAATCTCATTAACCTCAGATCCCACACTGCAACTATTAAAAGCATGACCATTTCAAATTTAGGTCAAAGCAAACTTATCACTCTTATCTCCAATGGCTATTATAATAGCACTGACTTTCTAATTACGCATCTGTGTGAGGATAGGCATTTCCACCAAAGCAGTGTATCCCACAAACTGAACGTGTCTTTCCATGCCAGGCAAAGAGACTCTTAAGACATAAAAACAGTTCTACCTGTCAAACAGATTATCTCTGTCTTATAAAAGATCACTATTTGTTGTTACTATTGTTATTATTATCTATTATTATTATGTATTATGGTAACGATGATGTGTGCACCTCTATGCACATGTGCAGAGGCCAGAGAAGGACAATAGATAACCTGTTCTATCACTCTCCATCTTATTCCCCTGAGAGAGGGTCTCTAATTGAACCTGGATCTTCGCTTTTGAAAGTGGTTGACCAACAAGCCCCAGGGATCCACCTATTTCGTTCCACACCCCGATGCTTGGGTTACAGGTATGTATAACCATGTACAGCTTTTTTTTTTTTTTTTTTTGGTTTTTCGAGACAGGGTTTCTCTGTGTAGCTTTGCGCCTTTCCTGGAACTCGCTTTGGAGACCAGGCTGGCCTCGAACTCACAGAGATCCGCCTGGCTCTGCCTCCCGAGTGCTGGGATTAAAGGCGTGCGCCACCACCGCCCGGCTTCCATGTACAGCTTTTATGTGGTTGATAAGGATTTGAAGACATGCTTGCTCAGCAAGTGTTCCTATCTACTAGGCCATCTCTACAGCCCTTTATTACTGTTTTCAAATGAAGCAATTTTCTTTTAAAGTCATATTCTCCTTTCCTCTTCCCTCCTTTCTCTCCCTTTGAAGGACTGAGGATCAAACCTATGCCTCGTGATGGGCAAGTATTCCGTCCCAGCTTAATAAGCATTTCCTACATTTCTGGGTGTGGTTTCATATATGACAAATATTGGAAAGTACAACCCATATAAGGCTCTTTGGGATCTTCAGTAACTTTTAAGAGCATTAAAGGGAACTAAGATGGCTGGGGTGAGGGGTGGCAAGCAGAAAGGTGCTTGCTGCCAAGCCTGATGACCTGAGTGCAATCACTGGTACCCAGATGGAGTAATGAGAAAACCAACTCCTGTAAGCTGTTCTCAAACCACTACACATGCTAATAGTAAATAAATAAATGTAATAAAAAATTAAAGGGAGAACATTAAATACATTGTCATCTGATTTTTCCACACTACAACATTCTGCAACTAGGAAAAACAAATTGAGTGATAAGATCAATGGACTCACGACAAGAAGGCCTCATTTACAGCTTCGAAGAACTCAGGTGAGAGGACTTCCTGAGATTCATGTCCATGGTAGGTGAGTAGAGCCTCCACAAGGGGTTCAAAATCAGGCAGAGTAACAAGAGGGACACAAACTTGTGATAGGGACATCATGCGCTCAGGAGTCATCCTATTGGAGAAAAAGTTAAGAAGTGGCAGTCCAGATCAGAAAGTCACATGTAACTGAACACCTAAAGTCTTCCTGCTGAAAAAGACAGTGACAGGCCTCCATGCTGGCCCAATAAAGATCTTCTCTAGCACCGTGTGCCAGGTCTTCTTTAGTCACTGACATTCCCATGTCTCCTGCACTCACAGGAGTACTTTATCTCTACTGTTATCTGCAGACATATCTGATTAACCAGGGCCCAAACAACTCCCCATGCCCTTCCACAGTCAATACTGTCAACTCCCTAGCTGCTTACCTGTGCAGGACAGAAATGGGATAACTCCCAACTAAATCCACAAAGTCCATAGGATACACACACTAGCCTGACATCCCAGGAACCCTGACCCATCTCAAGCCTTCCTCATTTGCTCCAATGAATTCTGCTTAGCATAGTTTTTCTTTTTTCCCCCTCAAAGAATTTTATAATTGAATAAGATACAATTTTCCCAGGGAACTTTTGCAGAGTGTGTTGAGCCAGTATACAGTTTTCAAAGGAAATTCAACCTTTCTATGGAGTTCTTTCTAAATGGAGTTCATTTACTGTTATCAGAAGATTGACTTTAAAAAGTAAGTTGATGCCTCACACACTCTTTGAGTCTTTTTATGAGCTTTTAAAAAGTCTTGTTTAATAGCTAAAAACCATGAAATTCTGTTCCTGTCCATTAAAAATAAAAAAATAACTTAGCCCCTTAAAACCTTGGACAAGAGTCAAAAGCCATGTGGGGTGTGTGTGCAGGTGTCTACCTTGTTTTTTAAGACAGGGTTTCTCACTGGGCCCTGGACTCAATGAATAGACTAGGCTGGCCAGCCAGTGAGCCTCAGGGACCCACCTGTCTCCATCTCCCCAGGGCTAGGATCACAAATATGTACCACCATGCCCAGGTTTTTACATGGATCCTGGGGATCACTCAGGTCCTTCTATCTGCACAGCAAGCACTTTGCCAACTAAACTGTTTCCTCAGCCCCAAACTGGGAATTCTTAAGGTGTGTTGCCATATGAATTTTAATGGCAACCAAGCATCTCTGTCCTGAGGCAAAAGGGTGCCATGATACCACTTCAAAGACAGCTGCCAAACCTGACAGGGCCATCATAGCCATGCTACCACTAATAACTAAAATAACACTATCTTTTATATCTAAAGTTATCTGCCAAGTTTTTAGCTGTACAAATCATAACCTTGGAATCAGAAACAGATCAGTGGTCTACAAATTTTCTAGTTCATACCTGAATCTATAAAATTGCATCCACTTGAAAACACACCTGTTATTATTCCTTTCACTGTATGACTTCCAAAGTTAAAGCAGCTGAAGGCCCCAAACACAATCCCAAATGATCAAGATGTACTATTCTCTTTGCTTCCACTAAGGGACTCCATTCATTGTTGACTTTTTAATCACTTGACCATTTAAAGTTCATTTCACAAGTTTCAAAATCTTCATAAAACATAGATTGATGCCATGAGTTCAGATGCAGAGATGGTCAGAAAAGCTCCAGGGCTTTGAGAGGCTGATAAATAGTCATTAACAATTCAATGACAGGTGTTTAAATTCTACCCAGGTCTTTACTACAAACAGCTAGAAGGTATGGCACTCTGGACTTTCCAAGCAGCTGTCTTACTGTATAGTACTATGGTTTGTGCAGACAGCTGGGAAGCTACAGACAACCACACAGGAAAGATGTTTCTAGCGGTGTGTACTTAGCATCAAGCCCTCTGCAGTTCAGTTCTTGTGCAGAAGTAATTTGGAATATACTCTGGCAATGAGTCAAGCACAACACTTAGTGTGATGCAGTCTGGAAAGCACTACTTAGCTCTCCCTTGAACATGATCTCCAGGTTCTGGCAAGTCTCAGGCTGGATCCACAAATGCCATGAGTACCTTCAGAAGGCTATCTATTGACCTGTCTGCATTTTGGTAAATATAAGTACTACCTAATTTTATAGGAGTCTTTAAATTGTTTGTTTGTTTTTTGAGACAGGGTTTCTCTGTGTATCCCTGGCTGTCCTGGAACTTGCTCTGTAGACCAGGCTAGCCTCAAACTCAGAGATCTTCCTATCTCTATCCCCAGAGTACTGGTATTTAAAAGTGTGTGCCACCGCCGGGCGGTGGTGGCGCACGCCTTTAATCCCAGCACTCGGGAGGCAGAGCCAGGCGGATCTCTGTGAGTTCGAGGCCAGCCTGGGCTACCAAGTGAGTTCCAGGAAAAGGCGCAAAGCTACACAGAGAAACCCTGTCTCGAAAAAACCAAAAAAAAAAAAAAAAAAAAAAAAAAAAAAGTGTGTGCCACCACTACCCGATGACTTTAAAATTGTTAAGGAAATTGATCATGGACCTTTTCCAATCTTGCTAGGAGATACAAACTGCAGCCATTGAGGTTCAGTGCTTGGTCAGTGCTGGCAGTCTTTCCTACCTACTTAGTCCTTCTCTCCTTTCAGAAAACGAGAAAATTCACACCTGCAGGTCTTTTAGAGAAGAGGATTTCATAACAGTCACTGACTCTGGATGGCCAAGAACACTCCTCATTCAATTTCACAAACATCCGTGTGACTCTATGAAACAGATGACACGAGAGCTCTCTATAAAATATATAAATTTCCAGCACCACACAAGCACAACTGTTCCTTTCTTATACTGCTCAGGATTCAAGTTCACAAACATCCATTGGACTCTATGTAACAAATGATGCTAGGGCTCTACGCTAAATAGCTAAAGGAAAATATCCAGTGTTGTGGAATAATTCTTCTGTACACTATGTAAATTACGATGTGATAGGTTTAGTGAAGAAGCCTACTGGCCAATAGCTCGACAGGATGAAGTTAGGCAGGAAAACCAGACTAAGAACAATGGGAAGAAGGGAGGAGTCACCAGGAGACACAGAGGGAGCAAGACATGCTGGAGGACAGGTAAAGCCAGGAGCCACATGGCAGCACATAGATTAATAGAAATGTGATAATTTAAGTTGTAAGAGTTAGTTAGTAATAAGCCTGAGCTATTGGACAAGCATTTACAATTAATAGTCTCTGAGTGGTTATTTAGGAAGCAGCTGGCAGAACAGAGCTGATGGTGGTCCCGACGAAAAACTCCACCTACAAATGGTGCCCATAAATCCACATAAAGCCTGAGAAAGCTTTAAAAATAGTTCTAAATGCACAGAAACAGAGTCAAACACAGCTTCCTAGTCTCATGTCTCTCATGCCAGCTGCAGTACCAAGATGTGTCTCCCAGCAGCTGCCTGGGGGAAGGGCCAGCTGCCAGACACCAGCCACTACTGCCATGCAGTAAGTTAGGCTACACCTTCAGTGGCTGACAGCAATTTACGATTTGTTTCATGCAATCAAAAAACAATACAGATGCTCAGTAAAGACAGATCCAGATGGGAAAAAAACTCTAAAAGTGCATATTTGAATATATTAAATGTATATTTATGAATATATATAGTCTTGGGAGAGAAAATAGGTATAGACAGTCATAAAAAAGAAATATATAGTTTTAAAATAATAAAGTCCTTAAAAAGGAAGTAATATAAAAGAAAAAAGTCACTGGGCGGTGGTGGCACACGCCTTTAATCCCAGCACTCGGGAGGCAAACCCAGGCAGATCGCTGTGAGTTCGAGGCCAACCTGGTCTACAGAGCGAGATCCAGGACAGGCACCAAAACTACACAGAGAAACCCTGTCTCGAAAAACCAAAAAGAGAAAAGCCATGTAAAGATGGGAAATACACAAGAGCCTGGATCCTATGTTATTGTGCTGTCTTTAAATTTTTGGGCTGCTAAGAGACACTGGATTGAAGCTGCTAGATTAAACCAATCTATATTTTAAAAAAATATCTTGACTTCAAAATTTAAGTCAAAAGGTATGTCGCATTGGAGGAAAGGTTATGCTTTTATTTCCACAGGAAATGAGAAGCTCTGGATTCATTCCAGATTGATATGGATCAGGTTTGATCAAGAAAGACCCCCTGAAAAATCCTGACTACAGACATAAAGAAATAAACCTAAAAAAAAAAAAAACCCACCCAAAAAACTACAAACATGTAACATATATTTTACCTGCTCAAACATAAAACAAAAAAATCATCTTTGGCTAACTTGTGTACAACACACAGTTTATACTTGTACTAATACGGATATATATGTTACCTTTAAAAGTTTATGTATTTTCAGAACAAGGGGACCAAACACCAATGAAAATTGATGGCCCAGGTGATCCAGCATTTCAAAATGCCTCTCTAACAGTCTCCTCAAAATTTTGCATCCAAAACAGCTTCAAGGCTGCTGACTGAGATGATCCAACCTCACAGACTACTACAGCCAAGACTTCATTATTATCTCAATTTTCTCAAAGTTCCCCCAAAGATACCAGCATCCCCAGACAACAGGAAGTAGTCTAGAGAACAATGCCCACATTCCCAAAATATTGGTTATGGATGTTTGCTATCATTTAAGGGGGGTTACAATTTGTTATTGGTAATGATCAGAAAAAAAGCTAAACAAGGGAGATTAGATTCAGGGATCTTGTTGTAAAAAGAAAAAAAGGGGGATAAAGAAATGATAGGATAAAAGGGTAGATTATTGAATCTACCTTAATCCAAAAACAAATATTAATCTCAAAATACTTTACAGTGGTATAGGTTTTGGTTTATTGATACAAATTTAAAAGTTTTTACTATATGTATGTTTCTACTCTTGTTTGGGGTATTGTGCTTATGCAACTAATTTTAAAATGTAATGTATAATTAAGAAATACAGATTAATAGTCATCTATAATAGTCAAACATATTCATGTTAAGTATGTTTTCAAGGTCATACACAGATATATTTAGATAGATAGATAGATAGATAGATAGATGGTCTTCAAACACTTCAAAGACCAACAGAATATGGCATTTAATATGTTTAATAACCTAAGGCTTTGCATGACAGTGAGACATGTCTGCTCCTGATATCATCCATTTATTTCAAATA